AAGTTGACAAAACTTTCCATGTTATTGTAAATCTGATACTTATTCTGAACTATTTTATTTTAGGTATATATATCCTGGAAGCTCATAAGGAAGTTTTTCAGATTTTACAAGCTGTCAAAATGAGAAGTTCAGACTTTAACATAAAAGAGATTCAGACTCAGAATGAGAAGTTCAGACTTTATCGAAGACCCACACTAATCTTAGTTCTAAAACAGACGCAGATGCAGAAGTTATGCAGACGTAGACGCAGAAGTTATGCAGACACAGACGCAGAAGTTACGCAGATGTAGACGCAGATGTAGAAGTCTTTCAGACGGAGAAGCAAAACTCATTCAGAACGAAACATAACAGCTCAGCTAGTGATCTGGTATGGATTTCACAAAAGGAAAGTTTTGATCTCAATCTAATTGATTGACAATCAAATATTACAACGAGTATGCATTACAACGGATAAAGCTCTACTTATGGAAACCAAGATTCTGATTGTATAGGCGACCAGAATCAGCGGGATTCAGAATCTGTCATCCAACGGCTACTCAATCCTTTTTATACAAATCTGTCCAAGGTGAAGATTGGAAGATGATCCTCTGAAAGCTGTCCAATGGCTAGTTTCGAAGTGGAGGAGTATTTAAGGAGATCAACGAGCAGCAGAAGGAAGTACAGAATCAAGAATCAACAAGTCCAAAGTCTGAGCATACTCCGATCCTTACTCTTGTCTTTCTTGAGCCAAACATTAAGATCTTGAGGGATACTTTGTAAGAGTGATTGTGTGAGATAGAAAGTCCTATCATACACAAGAGTGCTGTCACTCAAAAGCTGTAATTCCTCTTGATTACATAGTGAAATCCAGCCGGTAAGCTGTCAGCGTGGGAGAGTGGACGTAGGCTTGTTATAAGCCGAACCACTATAAACTTGTGTGTAGTTTTTCTATCCCTTATCTCTTACTTTACATACTGCACATCAAGAGCACTGTCTATATAAACTGTTTTGAGTCTGAATTTTATTCAGACTCAACTGTGTTCATTCATTTCCGCTTAAATTATTAAAAATTATTTAAGATCACCTATTCACCCCCCTCTAGGTGATCCTTGCTAGCTCTATCACTCATCAAAGCCGTTAGATTGCAAGGAGATTTGATCTCTATCAGCAGATTTGTTTGACAAGGATTGATGCCATCAACCATTGGATAGATTCAATCTCCACCATCGGATTAATGTGATGAGCATCAATATCAACCACCACTAGATCAAGTGGATTTCTACTGTCGGATTGATTACACAATGATTGAAATCATCTGTCGTTAGATCACATAGGCGATCAATGGTTGTAATTAAAGAGACTTTTGTATAAATAGGGGAACTCTCCCCCTCATTTGTATCATCCACTTCATTTGAGCAATACAAGCATTCTTTAGAGTTTCTCTCTCTACTTTCTCTCTTTAAGAATTCCCTTCCTTGAGTGTGGGAGTGAGAGTGAGAGTGAGAGCAAGGCTTACTTAGGCCAAACAAAGTGATTGGAGGTCTAAGTGCCACACAGTTCGTGATCGGAAGAATCGTCCCACGACAATAGGATGAATCATCGATCCTCCTTTTCGTCTAGGCTGAAGCCGCGACCTTCGTACTGACTTCAAAAGTCGTCTCCCTACCTGTCCCTGTTCGAATCGAATTCCCTATAGGTAGGTCGGACAACAGATGTTCCAAACCACCGAAGCAGATCCTTCAAATCGTTGGTCGTAGGTGTCATTTAACCTCGGCGCCAATTCGCCAACCCTTTCCAAGCTTCCCCTGGCTGAGCCACTCCTTAAACATGTGTAGTTTGTTGCCAATTCTACTCCATGGCTCATTTAGATGCCTCAAGACAACCAACGCCCCCGATCTTTGTCAGCAAGAAGATGCCATTATTGTCAACCCCAAACGGCTCCGGTCTTCAAAAATTCCTATCATCTCTAATGCCAATTGACGTGGTAGAAAGATAGATGAAAACAGATAGATCAATCCACAACCTAAGTGGCAAATCGCAAGCACGCAAACGTGCGCAATAATAGAGAGAAAACTCTAAAATCCTTAAATTTGGAACGGATAAACTAACAAGGAAAAGAAACTCAATCACATTAAGTCTCGAATATATAAGTAGATAACTTCCAAAAATTAATTGAATCATTTAATATCCCGATATATTGTAAAATTATTGAAAAAATAAGGAAATAAACTAGTCAATCGAGGAATCAAGAGAGTGGGTTTATGATTAATTAATCTTAATGAGATACACTATTTTTTCGTGGACGGACATCTTGTTTTCTTAAACTAATTTATGGGGCATATCCTTCTGCTATGTACATTGGATCAATCTAGTTAGTAATGCTGGATGTGATAGAGTCGTCATATTACCTAAGTTGTTGACTTTCTACAGCATTCTGATCAGCAAAAACTAGGTGTGTCAATCGAGTGGGTCGGGTCGGGTTTGGATCGGATCAAAAATAGTCACACTCATATTGACTAATTTAACCTGTTTTGACCCATATTCATGTAGTGTAAATCTAACGACCCATACCCGACCCGACCCGTATTCTAAAAGACTTTAATATAAAATCCAATTTAGAAAAAAAATTGTTTCTTATAAATTTTTAAAAATATTTCTATTGCTAAAATGCTTCAATGCAATATAAAATAAGTGAACAATTTTTATAATTTAAAAAAATATTTTTTTATATTTTTAAATATCTTTTTTTTTCTTTTCTATTTTTTAAAAGGGTAAATACCACGAAAAACTCTAAATTGGTACACATGTGACAATTTTACCCAAAACTAATTTTTTGACCACGAAAAATCTCAAACTGGTACACCTGTCACAATTTTACCCAAAACTAATTTTTTTATCACCAAAAACCCCAAACTTGTACATTTGTGACAAATTTACCCTACTTTAAATTAAATTAATACCACGAAAAATCACAAACTGGTACACCCGTGACAAACGGCGGGATAAAATCCAAACTGATACACCCGTCAACTGCCACGTGTCGTATAACTCAAAAATTTGACAGTAAAATTTAATGGAAACTAATTCGGAGTAAAATTGTCACAGATGTATCAATTTGGGAATTTTGGTGGTCAAAAAATTAGTTTTGGGTAAAATTATCACAGATGTATCAATTTGAGAATTTTGGTGGTCAAAAAATTAGTTTGGGGTAAAATTGTCATAGATGTACTAGTTTGGGGTTTTTCGTGATATTAACCCTTTTTAAAAATGAAAATTTTAATTATTTTTTTCTTTTTTCTTTTTCTTTTTCCTTCTTCGGCTGGCCGCCAGCGACGGCCGACAACCGGCCGCAAGCGAACTCGGCTAGATCGCCAGACAAGCTTGAACTCGTCGACCTCTATGGCCGGTCGTCGGCCGTGGCTGAAGAAGAAGGAAATAGAAAAAGAAAAATAAAGAAAAATAAATTTAAAAAATAATTTAAAAATCAATTTTTTTTAAATGATTTTTTTTAAATGACATGTTATGATGATATGATTCACTTAAGCTATTTACCCTACGACGCTACGAGGCTACAAATTAATAACTTAAATGGATCAAATATGAGTTGAATATGAATTTGCAACAAATCCATATTCAACCCATATTCGACCTATATAAACTTGGGCTTTAATGTTGTAAATCCATTTTGACTTGTTTTCAAAATTTCAAGTGATCCATATTCAACTTGGGCTCACTAAAACTGAGTTAATAAATGGGTTTCTAACCCATATTGCCACCTCTAACAAAAATTCAAGACGGGTATTTAATGAACGAATATATAAATTATTGTCAGTAATCAAAATATTTTTCGTTGACTAACTATTTCAATTGATATAAATGATCATTTTTAGGAAAATGCTTTCCGAATTATTTATTTTTCGCGAAATAAATGGAGCCTAGGACCAAAAATATTTGCAACATTCCAGTAATAAACATATCATAACTTTTAATCCGAGAGAAGCAACGGATTCATGACACTGACTCGAAAAGCGGTCTTTATTTGCATCTATTCATAAGACAACTTTATAGATCATATTTTCATGACACAATTAAGATATTTTTTTCTCTTTGTTCTTGTACAGTTCGGCAACATGTTGGCAGCTCTCTTTTACTCGCGTGTGAATTTAATTTTATTCTGAATTCGTGTTGAATTTGTTTTCACTAAATCTTAAGTCGCAGGATCAATGGACATTGCCTAATTTAACTAAATTTGTTTATTTTCCTTTCCAAACCAACAGAGAGATGTTCCTCAATGGAATGGATAATGTCTCGCATTTGCATAAGTTTAAAAGGAAAGGTTATGCGGTTGTCCACACATGATGTGTTCATCCATACTGATCGAATCAGTTCTCCGAAAAATTAACACTAAATGATTTTCTAACAAGAAAAATACCGAAAGAAACACCCTCCATCCAGAAAATCCGTCTTGCTATGGACTATATACTCTTTACATACATGTGATCGCCCTTCACTTATCGGTTTAAACTCTTGGTCTCTCTCAGTTTATATCGCGTGTGCGTCCACTCTGCTCATCAAATTTCGCACTGCTTGTAAGTGAGCAGGATGATAAAATATCACGCGTTGAACTTTCTAACATGCTCATATCTCTCTCTATCGACTACGTGCGTGATGCTAATTTCTCATATTATCAATTTGCTCTGGTTTAAGAGATTCGATTTGCATAATACACTCTCTGACTCGTATTAACTATTCGGCCCAAAAGAAAATCTCTTCAAAAAGAAGAGGACTATACCTTAAATGGTAAAATTGATTTTATGCAAGTATGATGTTAATAGTGCGGCAGCACTTGCCATATTAAGCCAATGCCTCTTTAATTTGGATTAACCTCCAATAATAATTATACACTGGATGTAATGTGATTTATTTTTTTATTTATTTTGACAATGAGAGATTTTTCATTATGTCTTCAAAAAAACTTTTGAGGGAAAATTCCAACGGGTCCGACCGGATGCCCTCGTCCTCGATCCTTCCTCCTCTCAACTCAAAACAGAAAAGGAGGAGGAGGAGGAGGAGGAGAAGAGGAGGAGGAAGAAGATGCATTTGAGCGAGAACGAGGGCATCGAGGGCGCCGTCTTCGTCGTCACCGGCGGGCTAGGCTTCGTCGGAGCCGCGCTCTGCAAGGAGCTGGCCCGGCGAGGCGCTCGCGAGGTCCGATCCTTGGACCTCCGCCTCGCCTCCCCCTGGTCTCGCGATCTCAAGGACCATGGAGTCCACTGTATCCGCGGTAGGTTCGATCGCCTAGCCCTCTCCGGAGATTTCGCGAAACGTTTGGCTTAGCTAGTTTCCGCTCTCGTGGAGATCGCGGCTTGTGGTGTTGCCGTGAGTGATTCCTACGTAGATATTCTCGTATGGATCTGTGGAATAGCTTATTAGCGTCCGAGTTTCTGTTGTCGTGGCGATCGATCGTCTTGCGTTGGAGGTGATGCGGAATGCTGCTGGCAATTTTGAATGCGAGGAAAGTGCGGAGATTTTTGTCTGGGAGATCAGTGCAAGGCTCTATGAGCTTGAGTCTGTTGAGTGTTATTAGATCAATATGGGATTTTCGTTCTTCGGTGCTTTCTTAGGCTGAATCGCTGAAATGCCCTAGCTCTTATAGTTAGAGATTGCAGTTAAAATAGTTAACGAGTCCGGATGGATGGGTGCTTTTGGTGGATGTTGTGACTGAACCTCAATTGCGATGAAGTGTGAATTTTGCTGGTTTAGTTGTCCTGAGCTATCAGCAGTGATCTCCTTTTCTAGATTTGGAAGCTGATTGGGGTCGAATTTTCTGCATCTACAGGGGATATCGCGCGCAAAGCTGACGTCGAGAAATCTCTGCGCGGTGCCGACTGTGTGTTCCACCTCGCTTCGTTCGGCATGTCTGGCAAAGAGATGCTGCAATTTGGTCGAGTTGATGAGGTGAACATAAATGGCACCTGCCATGTTCTGGAAGCCTGTGTTGAGTTGGGGATTGGAAGGCTCGTCTATGTCAGCACGTATAATGTTGTGTACGGGGGGAAGGAGATCGTGAATGGCAATGAAAGCTTGCCTTATTTCCCTTTAGACGATCATGTAGATTCTTATGGTCGTAGCAAGTCAATTGCAGAACAATTGGTTTTGAAGAGCAACGGTCGTCCTATGAAGTAAGTGATACTGAATTCCACGTTGTGCAAGACCTTGGTTTAATTATGTCCTGTATGTGCTTTTTACTACTTTTGCTGTGGATGTTGAGTTCTTCCAACTTCCTTTGCATGACCTTCACCAAAGCATTATAATTTACATAAAACAACTAATCAACTTATATACTAGTTATTCTTGGACGGGATTTCATGGCCTCTCGGTTTAAGCCGAGTCTTGGCTTCTCAAACACTTATATACTAGAGCAGTCAATTTTATTTTGGTCAGCTGCTAGATCAGTCAGTTGGCTGTATCTCTTTGAATGCAATCTCAATATAGGTGTTGGCTGCTTTTCAATTTCTTTCCACCGCATGCCAAATGCCATCATAACAGTTTCCGATATGACTATGCTATACAGGAAAAAGAAGGGGAAAAACCTCTACACATGTGCTGTCCGTCCAGCTGCGATATATGGTCCAGGTGAAGATAGACACCTTCCTAGGATTGTATCACTGTCGAAGTTGGGTCTCCTCCCATTCAAAATTGGTGAGCCCACTGTGAAGACAGATTGGATTTATGTCGATAATCTTGTCCTTGCTCTTGTATTAGCAAGCATGGGGCTTTTGGATGACATTCCTGGGACTAAAGGACAACCAGTAGCTGCTGGCCAACCATATTTTGTATCTGATGGTGAGAATCCCATGTTAATCTTCTGAATTGTTTTTTGTGTGTCTTGTGAAGAAAATCATCTGGTGGCTATTGGAGGAAATTTTTCTGATAAGGATTGTTTTTCTAGCTGTAGTTATGGTTTATGTGATGGGTTTGGATCTTTAGATAATTCTTATATTGCAAAAGAAGAAACTGACCCTTTGTACTTGCAGGATCTCCGGTAAACACTTTTGAATTCTTGCGACCTATTCTTAGAAGTCTAGATTATGATGTACCCAAGGCTTCCTTGTCTGTTCCTCGTGCTCTTTCTTTGGGCAAGGTTATTGGGGCTGTCTATACCATGTTGTATCCTTGGTTGAATAGGTGGTGGCTTCCGCAGCCTCTCATCCTTCCAGCGGAAGTATATAAGGTAAGTAATCTCTATTCCAAGCTCTTCTTCTGGTTGTGAGTGCCTGATGTGTCCTCAATCTTGTTAGGGATTGGGACTTGGGAGTGAAATGGTCTATAGTATTACCTGTAAATGCTCCTAGTTACGACTGCCAAAACTCTAAGTAAAAGTCCGGAAGATCACTTCACGCCACCAAAAGGCTATGCCACATGATGGGTAAATTTACTGTCCAGATTACACAATAAATTTCCTCGTGTCAAGTCTCACTCCACCGGACTGCGTTTTGTACAGGCCCAATGCTGTTATAAAGCTATCGAGTCATACTAAAAGACCAAAGCTACTTCCGACCCAAAAGATGGTTGGAGATAGTCAAGTTCCAACAAAAACCTTGACTAGTATTTAGGATTTGGTATTCTTAATTGACAGTTTGGTTATCTCGTTTGGTTTGCAAATTTGAGCATCAAACAAAAAATTGACGTAGGTTCCTTTTCCTTTGGTATACTTTTAAGACGTCATTTTAAATTAGTCAAACTTCTGTTATGGGTAGGGTAGTTGTGGGCATTTTCTTTTTCTCCTTTTCATTTGTGGAGCTGTACCTTTGGATTTGCGTTTTTCGAAGTTATCTAGCGTGTCGGACATTAATCCATTTTCACCTTCGATGTCTGGCATCTCTCTCAATCAACAGGTAGGCGTTACCCACTACTTCTCATTTCTTAAAGCTAGAGAAGAGCTTGGCTATGTCCCTATGGTGTCTCCTCGTGAAGGCGTGGCCTCGACGATTGCATACTTGCAAGAGAGGAAGAGGAAGAGCCTGGATGGCCCTACCATTTACGCATGGATGTTCAGCATAATTGGAATGGCCGCACTATTTGCAGCCGCTTGCTTACCGGAGATGGGGCCTGTGAGATACTTAAGAGCCCTCAGCCTTTTCTTTTGCCGGTCAATGTGGGTGGTCAGGTTGGTACTTGCGGCAGCTGTGGCAGCACATGTCGGGGAGGCAATATATGCTTGGCGCCTCGCCAAGAGGGTCGACCCTGCCAATGCAAGGGGATGGTTTTGGCAAACTTTTGCGCTCGGGATCTTTTCATTGCGTTTTCTACTTAAGAGAGCTAAGTAGGTGTTGCGAAAAACTTGTACTCCCGCGATAGAAAACGTCCAACATTATGCAATCTCGCTAGAATTTTGCGGTTACCCAGAAATGTTCGCACACAAGCAGCATCCTCCGAAGATAGATATACACGGTATATATTATGATAAACAATGATTATGGTATAACTCGGTGACTAGGGCTGGCAAGCGGTCAGCAGCACGGGCCCATGATGGGCCCAGATGGCCCACAACCGTGAGCCATCACGGACTGGTCTGTTCCGTTTCATTGGGACCTTCTATAAAAGTATTAGGGCGCGTATGGAATCCATTCTGGAGCAGAAATTCTGCTCCAAAATGCATTTCGGAACAGAAATGCGTTTGTTAAAAAATTTCCAGAATGCATTCTAGAATAATTTTTACATTCTGGAATAAAAATGCGTTTGTTAAAAATACTTGATTTCAGAATGCATTCTTGATTTCAAAATGTATTTTTTATTCCAGAATAAGTTTTTGGCAAGAAAAAGATAAGCTACTTTTTGTAGCTTCTCTCTTCCAGAATACATTCTCTCTTTTCTCTTTTTTTCGTGGCCTTTACAACACATTTTGAGATCTCACTAATTTTTTTTCAGAAAATGCATAAAAATTGAAAAATTCCAGAAAAATTCATAAAAATTTCCAGAAAATAAAAAAAAATCAGATTTCGGGAAAATAAGAAATTTGGTGAATTTTTTTCTAAAAAATAAAAAATAAAAAAAAATTTCGAAACTTTACAAAATGGCTTAGAAGCCACCTTGAGTGAAATTTAAATTTTTTTAGATGTCTAAAATAATCAAAAAATCAAAAATTTTAAAACTTCACAGAATGACTTAGAATACTTGTGGCCACCCACTTTGAGTGAAATTTTACTTTGAGTGAAATTTAAATTTTTTGAGGTGCTCAAAAAAATCAAAAATTTCAAAGCTTCATAAAATGGCTTAAGAATACATGTGACCACTCATTTTGAGTGAAATTTAATTTTTTTGAGGTGTCCAAAGAAATCAAAAATTTCAAAACTTCACAAAATGGCTTAGAATATCTTTGGTCACCCACTTTGAGTGAAATTTAAATTTTTTGAGATGCCCAAAAAAATCAAAGAATAAAAAATTTTAAAACTTCACAGAATGGCTTAAAATACCTGTGGCCACCCATTTTGAGTGAAATTTAAATTTTTTTAGGTGCAAAAAAAATCAATAAATCAAAACAGATTTCTGTTCCAGAAATCAATTTCTGGAGCAGAATTAGTCATGTTTTATCAAACAGATTTCTCCTTTAGAAATCAATTTCTGGCAAGAATTCCATAAATCAATTTCTGGCAAGAATTCCATAAATCAATTTCTGGCAAGAATTTGATTTCTGGAGCAGAATGGTTACCATTCACGCCCTTACTTGCCCGGCCCCAATCCCAGCAGCATCGGCGGTTAAAGATTTTGCAGCTTTCACGTTTCACCTGAACAATGTCCTTTTGTGGGACAAGCTCAGTTACGGTTTTGCTTTCAAAAACATGGATCGTTCCAGGATAAGCATCATGCACCCCGGCAAATGTGTATAACAAGTTGGTCTTCTGTCACGAGATGCTTTTTTAATCTTTTTTAAAGAGCCATAAGGGATACATAAATTATTCATAGTGATGGAGAAAGTACATATTCCGGTTCAATCCATCGACATGATGGTGAAGGTTACGCACTGAAAGCATAACAAAACAATAACGTCCTACCTAGAAGTCTTTCCTAGCGATAATCACATTGCGACAAGTTCCTAAGCCATTAAACGACCGAAATACAGAGTGACTTCTACTAAATCTGGTTTCAAGGACTCAAGCCCTTATTACAACTAATCTCCTAGAGGGCTTCAAGCTACATGTCCCTAAACTTACAACATCAGCAAACACAAGGGTCAGCATCTTATGCCACTACACTGGACACAGGATCAGTTCAACTTTAGTTTTACCTCCATGGCAGGCTAGACATGCCTTGTGAGTTACTGTTGTTGCAGATGCCTGTACTCTGATTCAGCGGACTCCCAGGCCCACCAGATGATTCACTGAGGGTCCCATGGGATGGTGGGCTACTAGGCCCGACCGACACTCCACCGGAGACAAATTTTCCTGGAACCAAAAAGGACTCAACTTGGTTCGCCGATTTTGTTTCGGGACGACCTTCAGCCATAAAACTGCCCACAACAACCTGCATTAAATTTGTCAGCTTAATGTCATCATGGATAATTGACTTTTCTTCTGTTCTTGCTAGTAGATTCAAAACAGACAAAGACACCAAGCATATATGTTCAGAGCCACGGCATCACTCAAATCTAACTCTGCTTTTACTCTAAGAAAATAAACCATATCTACGAGGATGACATCCATGCTCTCCTCATTGGATTCGCATTCCAAGATCCCGTACTGATTGTCATCAACTAACAAAGACAAAGCAGAGGGACCCATTAATTGACTGTAGACTTGTTCACATAAGTAGATGTAAACAAGCTTAGAAAAAATCTTTAGAATTACTAACACTATTCTCTAGAAACCCCACCTACGCTGGGGATTTGCCCAAATTTTGGTAGAATAAAATGCCAAGTCAAAAACGTAATTTTTCCTATTCCACCCTTAAAAGCCACACGAATACTACGTAAATTCCCAGAATTTGGTAGAAGAAAAGTCCTAAGTCCTCACGTAATTTTTGTTCGATTCCAGCACTATGGTAATTGCTTTAGGCCACCACAACCAAGCCACAAGGAGACGTATTTGATACAATCTCTGCGTGAGACTAAAAGAGGAACCGATGGAAAGAGTGGAAGTACACCTGAACAGGAGATGCTGCAGTTAGAAGACCCGCCACCCCACCACCTAAAACACGACCATCTGGGCCAGACAAAGACACACTCAAGCCTCCAGTTCTGCTGCGATGTCCACCACTATCCGATAGAAGAAATGATCCAGAAAGTGACAGTATTTCAAATCGCCCCTGCCAAATTAAACTATATGTCAATTACATTCCATCAATATAAAAAAATAAACAAATCACTACTACGGGTCACAGTAACTTGCTGATGAGTGCTTTGCACCAAAGAAAGAGAAACAGTACTCCATCCATCACGCATTTACCAAATAGTCCTGGGTAAAGCCAACTGAGGCACTTTTCAATGACACACTCAGTTTTCGTCCTCATATTTACTCAGCGGTTAGTGCATTAGTAATATCCACATGTCCAAGTGCCTTAAAAATATAGATAAGCTAAGTACTTGATAATCAAAACCTGAGTTGGGCTTTTACATTAGGATCCTCAGAGACAATCTTCCTCCTATAATAAGTGCTAACCAATTTCTACTCTTCTCATGTTAAGGCCGAGGAGCAGTCTCACAAACCTCGTAAGTCACAGTGCCGCCAGATGTGGCAGGTTGGCGAAGTGTCACATTAGATATAGCTCCATTTGCAGACAGTACACAAACAGCCCTTGGACCATTCTGGGAAAATGACATTATCTTTGATGATACATCCTGACAAACCAAAGAGAGAGTGGCTAAATCATCAGAAAAACCTGAAGTCTCATCAATGTATCTGGATAAAATAGTAAATATAAGAAGAACTCAGTGAAAGATCATTGAAACAACACCTATGATCGAAATAGAAGCATAAGCCTCGCAATAATGTTGTTATGCTGGATCAATGCACGGTGAAGTTACCATCATGAACTTCGGTTTTCTTTAATATATAAAACATCCATCAAGCGCATGGAAAAATGTGGTGAAAGGATTACAGATGCCTCCAAAGGCTCTCAAAGCCAAAAGCTCTATTTCCTTCTTTCTTTGGCTCTCAAAAGTCAAACCCACTCTATCCTAAATAAGACTCTAGAATTGAGCCCGTGCAATGCATGGTACATCACAATACAGATAAAACATAAATATTATTTCCCTCAAATATATATAAAATATATGAAGAATAAATCATTAAGTACATTGTTACTTCCAATTAGAGTCAACATTAGTTTTTTTTTCAATATCAGATCACTTTAAAGAAATTTAAAATTGGGCTAAAAGAAAGCAATTAAAAATGGAATTGCTTGGGTCACATGAGCAAATCCAACTTATTTATATCATTTCACACTTGAAAGATACAGCTATACTTAATTGATTGGATTTCCCTTTACTTTATTAACGGAAGGACCTAATCGAACAAAAAAATAATATAGTTTAGGGACTCAATTAGCCATAAAAAGTTTAGGGACTAGATTGCACAAATTGAAAAGGTTCGTGAACTACTAGTGCCTTTATCCCTTAATCAAATTACCATTTCCATGATGGCATCTATAAGCAGTACTTCTTTTGAGGTCATTTCTCATACAAGGATGAAACAATCAACGCAATATGGAAAAGAACACTTGGAGGAAAAGGAGGAAGGACCTCTCCAGCTTTAACTGTGATCACATGTGGCGTAAATCCCATCCCACCAGATCCTGCACAGGTAGTAGTATTAGCTACTTTCTCTCCATTATACCACCATGCCAATCAAAATCAAGACGACATTCACACAATGATTTTCATGTGCTTTTGCTAATGCGAAATGAGATAGCCACTAGTGAAACCAGTTACATAATAATTGTCCCTAAGGAAGAAAAGGTCAATAGACAGGGAAGATCGGTGAAGTCCACTCCCTCTCTCATCCAAGATCAAGCAACAAACTTGTCAAAATTAATGTCTCTCTTATTAGAACGTTCTTGGCTGATAAAGGATCAAAGAGTATAATTCTTTCATTTTATTGATGTATTGGACGATTAATTGGTGAATTCTTCAGTAATGGCATTTCCAATACTCTTGTTTGAGCAGAGGAGATCTATCTCAGCTTCAAACACCAGATGTCTAAAGGTCACCTGGCCATAGACTAAGTATTAACTGTTGTGTCATAGCTTGCCACATTGCCAAACATACTGCTAATCGCTACCCGAAGCTTATTACAAATCAGATTAGGTAAAGAGAAAAAAGCACTATCTACTATGACATGCAGTTAAGCAGCTGAGGCCAGGGGCCAAATTTGAGTGCGTTTTTGCATATTCCCTGCCTATGTTAGCCCGCCCCTCATGAGCAGTTCGATGAAGTGGGTACCACATAGGTCCCACATGATCTAACGACTCATGCTTAGTGGACTAACCTAGCCAAGAGTACCCAATAATTTTCCCAAATTTCGGCCTAATCCCTCACATTGACAAAATCTGCACAAGATTACCTTTTCTTGCCCGCTGAGGAGTCGATGAGAGATGGTAATTCAGCCCATCTCCTAGAAGTCCTATTATTCAAATAAGTAATGCATACAAGTGGAAGTGGTCAGAAGCGAACCAATCAAAGAAAATCTACAGTTCTGCCATCATTTTTAGTATGCTGAAAAGTGAAATGAATTTCTAAAAAAATGGAGAAGTGGAGAAAAAGGGAACGCATACATCGTCCGTAAATTTTTTTTCTGGAAAGAAAAGAATACACAAAAGCCTAAGAACTGCGTCCAGGTTATCCATGAAGGAAAAATCAATTAAACTAAAGCAAAATCGGAGAGAAACCCAACCAAAGTGGATACCGGCAAAGAGCACTCAGGACACAAAAAGGGCACGATGGTAATTCAAACTTAAAGAATCTAAGCACGACCGAACATAAACCCTACAGGCAAACTGAAAATAGCAGGATAACCATGTCCGACATAGCAGAATAGAATATGTAGAGGAAACAAGACGCCCCCATCGGAGGGAGAGGCTAAGACAAATAAAGAATCCCCCCAAGCAAAACAATATGCAGATGAGCAAAAAAGCAAGAGATCCCAGTCAAAAGCACCTGCTGCTTTGACATTATAAAAGCCAAAAAATTCAAACTTTGGGCTCGGGCATCCTCAGCACTCCCCACTCAGAACAAGCGTTCCATCAATAGGAACTAAGCCCAACGAATCCGGATGAAAAAACAGAGACCCACCCAGATTCATTCGCATTGATATGTCGGAGAAAGTTTACCCGGAGCATCCGATCGCCGCTTCTTATTGCTAGATCCAGGAGGCCTGCCCCTTCTCTTCGTCAAGCTAGCCGACCCCGAATCTCCCGACTGAGGAGCAGCAAAAGCAGGAGAGCCGCCGTGCGCCGACGGCAGACGAGGCGGGGACCCGAATCCTCCACCGGGAGGCGATGCGGTCGCGTGGCCCGCACCCCCGGAGTTGAGACCCAACGCGATCGATCCCTCCGGCCCGTACTTCCTCGGCCTCCCTCTCTTCTTCTTCACCGGCTCTCCCACCACGTTCATGTTCAGCCCCTCCGCCCCCCCGCCTCCGCCGCCGATGCCGATCTCGCCGTTGGCGGCGGACGGAGCGGGCGCCGCGGCCGGCTTGTAGGGAACCGCCCCGTCGCCGCCGAAGGCCAGGCGCAAGCTGTCCATCACCGGCGGCGACGGGACCGTGGGGTTCTGGAGGCTCGCACCGAACGCGTCTCCCGACATTCCTCCGATTCACCTCGTACCTCGTCCCCCCTAAAACCCCATCAAACCTGCGAAAAACACAAACATGCACCACGAGATCGGCGTCGGAGAACTTCCACCAAAAGGTAATCACTAACCCCCCCAAGAAAAAAAACCCTAATCACGCAGCACCAATCGCTCGAAAAAACCGAGAAAACTCGAAGTAAAATTAGCAACTGCACTTCGCGAGACGACAATGGCTCTCGAAACCGGCCGCGGAATCATCGACCGAACTAATCGAGATTAAGAGGCGATTTTTACCACGAAATCAAAGCCTAAACCCAGCTCCAAATGCGAGCTAATCCCTCGAATCCCCGGCACGAATTCATCGAACGAAAACCCTAATCACGGCGAACTAGAGCGAGAAAAATTCACAGACGGAGTCCAATCCTCACTCCACACCGAGTTAAAAAAGTCAGACAAATTTTTCCTCCCCAAATCTAGACGACGATCATCGGCGGAAACAGTGTTCAAACCGACGGAAGTAAAAAACTTCGGAGCTGAAGATTCCAGAGGGGAGTAAATTTCCCTTTTTCCCGAGAAAAAAAAAAAAGACGAGTCGTCTTTTTTGTTTTTTCCGGGAAAATGGAACGGGATAAATACGCAGGGGGGGGGCTTCAAAGAAAAAAAAAGGGCGAAAAAACTACCGTGAGCTCCACCAAAAATCCAGGAAAAGTTGCAGGGACCCAGAAAATTGAGAGAGGAGGCGACGATGTGGATGAAAGAGACGAGGAAGGTGCGAGCAACAGCGCCTCTGTTTTTTTTTTCTCCTCTTTTTTTTTTCTTTTTCTTTTTCCGGTCCGGGAGAATTTGAATTCCAGCTATTGACGAAGCAATCAATTTACTTCGGATATTTCCTAATTTTTTCTTTTTTTTTCTTTTTACTTTTTCCCTCTTTTTTCTGCTCGAAATAAATTTGGTTTTGCAGAAACGCAAGAGCCAATTGGGGATTTTACGTTTTAGTTCCCATTTAATTTTTAGCTACTTTGAATCCGAAAAAAATACATGAATATCGGCACGTAAATTCGCGTATAATTTTTTCGTATAATTTATATCCTATTGGAAAAGTAAAAAGGTAAATTTTTTTTATTCAAATCTAAGGGAAAAACAAACTAGGCCTATACTTATCTAATGCAAAATAATCTAAGTTTTTTTCGGGATATAGTCAATATGATATAAAGTCTCCCAATAATTCATTTGAAAAAGAAATTAAAAGATGAAGAAAAAAAGCAGGTAAAAAGGGAGCGCACAGCATACGGGTCTGCGCCTACAACTACACAGGGAGGAAATTATATTTTTTTTTTTTGGTCATGAGGGAGGAAATTATTTTGCACTGACTTTTTTAAAAGACTTTTTTATTTTTATTTTTTTGGTCAGAAGAGCCTTTTTGTTGTTGACCAACTCTACCTCTACGGTGTCCTCTTCGCCCGCTGTAATTTCACGCCACGTGTCCAGATAAATCTGAAAAATGTAAAAATTTACAGATGGATTTTTGGGAAGCAAGGGAATTCCCAAATTCAAATAATTCATTAAGAATATTCTAAAACTTAGATTAATATCGTCAAAAAAACCTCTAAATTATACACGGCGAAAACGCTCATACCCCAGATTTTTTACCGCGCCGCCTAAGATCCTAAACTGTGCCGAACCACGACACCAACATCCCCAACTTTTTCGACGCCTGCCCAGACCCGGTCGGACTTGTCGGCGATATTTTTCTTGCAAAATTATTATGTCTCTAGCGGCTTAATTTCTAATAAAAGTGTATATGTATCAACTTCTTCCTCTAATTTTTGGTGAGCGGGAATGATGTGATTGATTAGTTCGTAATCTCTGAGGATTAGAGAGAGAGAAAAGAGCATCATTAAGATAAGACGAGAAGAATTCTGATAGGTAGGAGGATTTATGGTTGTACTGGCAATTAGGTAAAGGAAGGTGGTTGGTCCATAAAAGCGATTGGACATTAGTAGAAACTGGGTAAATTGCAGACGCCCCGCTCTGCGCAACCAATCTTTTACTGCCATTATTTATTTTCCTTTTCTTGTCCCTTTCTCTCATCAGTTTTTTTTTTTTTCCCGGCTTCTTTTGGGATTTTTCCTTTTCTATTTAATCTGAAATTCCGTTTGTTTTGAAAAAAAAAAATAGGGATCAATATCATGAAAGACATCAAACCGGTACACATATAACAAATTTACATCAAACTGATTGTTTGACAAGCAAACACTCCAAAATGGTACACTCATGACAATTTTACCGTACGTTAGTTTTCGCTAAATTAGATTGTCAAATTTCTGAATTTGATTAAACATGACTGTTGACGGGTGTATTAGTTTGAGGTTTTATTTGTCACAGATGTATCAATTTGTGATTTTTCGTGGTATTAATCTAATTTAACCGAGGGTAAATTTATCACAAAGATACCAGTTTAGGATTTTTTGTGGTCAAAAAATTAGTTTTGGGTAAATTTATCACAGGTGTATCATTTTGGGGCTTTGAAGATCAAAAAATTAATTTAGGATAAATTTTTTACAAGTGTACCAATTTGGGATTTTTCGCGGTATTAACCAAAAATAATAAATAATTTGAAAAATATTTTTCGTAAAAATGATCATTTACATAGTTTGAAACAATTAGTCGATAAAAAATATTTTCATTATCGATGATATTTTCATAGATGATAAAAATATTTTTCGTAAATGATATAGACGATCGTTTTTTAAAAAATATTTTTTAAATAATTCTATTTTGGGTTAGTACCACGAAAAACCAAAAATCGGTACGCCTGTGACAAATTTACCCTTCGTTAAATTTTACAATCAAATTGTTGAATTTGACAACACTGAGCTTTTGACAGGTGTACCATTTGAAGTTCTACCCTACATTTGTCACAGGTACACCTGTTTGTGATTTTTTGTATCCAATTTAGAGTAAATTTATCACAAATATATTGATTGGAAGTTTTTTGTGGTCGAAAAATTAGTTTGGGGTAAATTTATCACGGGTACACCAGTTTAGGATTTTTTGTAGCAAAAAAATTAGTTTTTGGTAAATTTGTCATAAGTGTATTAGTATGGGGTTTTTCGTGATATTAACCATTTTATTTTTATGAAACGTAAGCATCTCTGGGTTAAGCATCAGCAATAAACTTTCCTCCAGGCTTAGACCTACTATGTAACCATTTGTTCTTTTTTTTTAGGAGTTGTAATAGTGAACATGCGTTTTTATATATAGTGAATATGCTTGCTGAACGAGGGATATAACACCGGTATGAATATTTGCCCCATTATTAGAACAATAAATATGAATATTTGTTCCAAAACATTTGTCTAGTGTTTTTTTTTTTTTTGGGAAGGATGTCTAGTGTTTTGATGGGTGATTTATCTGATAGCTTTGTTTTTTCTTTCATGTACTAAGCTTTGTTGAGTTAAAAATTCCCAAACCGGTTCCTTGTGATCCATACATCCGAATTTAAGAATTTTATCTCACAAAAAATTCCAAACTGCTATTGCCTTAATGAAACATTCACTCCAAACAAACCTTCGTCTCGCAAAAAAATCTCAAACCGATTCCCCTGACTTGAACCTACCTTTCATCAGCATTTCGTCCGACCTCCTGTTAAAATGCATACATGGCGGGCGACCGCAAGGCGAATGTAACATAGGAAATGACGGGTTCGATGTCAAAAATGCATTTTGACAAGATAATGGGAGTAAATTCGAATTAGGGGCAGCGGCTGTGAGACGAAAATTAATTTGAGATGAATGTGTCGTGAGATACCCGCTTGAGATTCGTGCTAATCGAATATTTATTTAGTATAATTTTATCATGGGTACTGGATTGGGATTTCGACGGTATTATCCCTTATTGATCTTATGGGTTCCGGGCCCCATTTATACAATTATAAGTAAATAAAAACAAAATTATATTTTTATTAAGCGGATGGCTAAAAAGTCAGCAAGTATGGTTTTTTTCAACAGTGGCATGAATAATCTGGAAACTTTTTTAAATTTAATTATCCAAGAAATGACAAAAGCAGAAGACAAAAAAAACTCACCCACTTTTTAGCCCTCCATAATTGATCTTTCATCATTAAATAATTGAAGATAACTTAATCCACGCAATGACACAATCCATCCCCCATTTCTACCCTGCATTTCCCGCTTTGTTCTAGAATGCATCGTTTTCGCGGTCCATACGATCGGTGCGCGATCAGGTCAGGTCGGATTCGGTTCGGTGCCATCGAGCTTTCAACTAAATGCACCGCGTCACTTGCATTTTGACTATGAAAATACGAGCGCGATGTATCGCCGTCGCGTTTCATGATGGACAAAAGCTTTTTGGATGATTACGCGAAATCATAATTGACTAATGGGTTATCGGGAAATCATTATTGCATCGAGATATTTTGACACGGTCCAGCAAACACATGTGATCATTACTTAAGGATAAAAGGCGTGAAAGGCTGAGGAATTCAAGATCTTTGCTTGAACAGCAATGGCCAGACGTGTGTTTTTTTCTTTCTCGAGTTGAAATTCTTTCAGAATTGTTATATCGTAGGAAATTTATTTATTTATTTATTCATTTCGTCAATAATATTACTTGTTTGTCGATGTGTTAATATTATGTTATCCGCGAATATTGGCCTCTCATTGCTAACCTGGTTAATAGATCATTCGTGGCAAACAATTGCAATTATTAAGGCGCTCATGTCGGATCAGATGTCGGGTCCTAATTTCGACCCAATTTTTTTTCTCATTAAAAGAAAAAGGTAACTTTCACTCAATACCCAAATTCGATCCCATTAACAGTTGCTTTTATATATTGTTGAATAAGGTAATTGATAAATTAGTTAAATAATTCTAGGCCCCAAGGTGTGAACTGTTTATTAATCTGTGCAACTTACATACTAGTAAGTCAAAGTAAATTCATGCATGGTGCAACCTCTACAAGGAAGGTTTCAATTTACTTGTCCAATTTATTAACAGAGGATTCCATATAATTATCCACAAGAAAGCTGAAATATTTTTTTTTCCATTGATTATTGCAGCTATTCCAACTAATTTAATAAATGATTTTTCTCCAATTCCCCTTTTAACTGGTGTAAACCATATTGATTAGGAAGATGAAGTTCTCTTTAACTCTTGGGAGCATAGACTTTCACTTAGCATTCCATGCGAATGAACCACCTATTCTTAGCAAATTGGATTCTTTAGCAATAATGGGATCGACCTAATCATTTGGGTCCGATGTTCATCAAATCTTACATCAATAAGCATATTCAGAGCCCAATACCTAAATATACGTTAGCAACAAAATGGTCAATCTGAATCATAATTGGGGTGCGTTTGGCAACTATTCTGTTCTCGAAAACTAATTCTGCTAAGAAATTATTCTTTTTTGTTCCGTGTCCAGGAATAATTTATAAGCATTTGAAAACGTTTGGTAACTGCCCAAAATTTCTATTATTGAAATGGAAAAAGAACAAAAATACGTTTGGTAACTGCACAAAATTTATTTTTATTAATAATATTTCGAATTTTTTCTTTTTTTTCTTTTTTTTTTCTTCCCCTTCCCCTTCCTTGGCCATGGCCAGGGCAAGCAACGGCGTCGCGACCCTCACCAGCCACAAGTGAGGGCCACCCTCACCGAATCCGGTGAGGGCGGTGGCGAGGGTCGCCCACGCCATATTCGGCGAGGGCCGCGACGCCCTCGCTGGCCTTGGCCTGTGGCCGGTGATCGGCCACAGACTAAGAAGAAGAAGAACAAGAATTTATTAAACTGATTTTTGTTCCAAAACTGATTCTCGGAACAAAAGAATAAAAATTGTTACTGTTTGGCAACTTGCCAAATTCTGAGAACAAAAGAATATAAATTGTTACTGTTTGGCAACTTGCCAAACGCACCCTTACTACTCATTTTGAGCGAGCCCGTCAACATCACCCTCCACACACAATGCTAGTTAGGGGTGAGCAAGATGGATCGCCCAAACCGAGACCAGACCGGACCAACTGGTTTGGTCCGGCTCTCGGGAGTATCGATCTGGTTCCCGGTCCCTAAAAGTGGAATCGGTTTCCGGGCAGTCCGGTTCCCGATTCTAGGGTGGGAACCGAACCAGACCGGACCGATAAATATATATCTTTCTAATTTTTTCATATATATATTTATTTTTTATAATTTTTGAAAAAAATAGAAAGCCTAATATAATTTCCTCAATTCCCTCTTGCCTTTACCAATAAGTGATTAGTCTCATTGGAACCGGACTAAACTGGACCGGACCGGTCCATGGTCCCAAAAACTAGCCAGTCCGGTCCCCGGTCCTAAAAACTGGGAACTAGTCCTTCTGGTCCGATTCTCGATTCTTGGGTTGGACCGAACAGAATCGGGAACCGCTCACCCCTAATGCTAGTGGGAGACTGGGAGCAATGTCGGAGCCATCTCACGTCGGGACACGGCCGAACCTATGGCGCGACGAACCGGGCTTCACGAGACCGGCAGACCTAAGACCAAGGGGGCCTCAAACCACTCGAAGTAAAGCCTTACGCCGCTAGGCCAACCACCAAAGGAAGACGATCAATACTAGGCATATTAAGAGATTAATATACTTAATCGGGTGGTAAAATGATGAGTGATAGATATCTATCAATCCATGTTTGAATGGATCGAACACCTTTAATGACCATGTGTACCGATCACTTTGACATCCCTAGCAATGTCCTAGTGGGCCGAAACTCAACAGGCGCTCCCCTTTGCCTACGTGGCATCCCCTTCCCTCTGGTGAGTATTGCTCAAATTACGAAATCGCCCCCGGCAGCTCCGAATCTCAGTTTTTGAAATTCAAAAAACTTTGGTGCCGTTGCGCCTCCTTGCTCGACGACGCCCCTCTTGAAGCCCTCTTTCTTTCCTTCAACGGTTATTTCATCGCCCCGCTATAACACACGCTCCGCCTCCGATTCGTCGCTCCATTTCCTCTTCACCGACTCACAGACGCAGAGAGAGAGAGCGAGAGAGAAGATGGAGAAACCGGCGGCGGCGGCGGTGGCAGTGTCGGCGATGGAGGCGTTCGAGAAGCTGGAGAAGGTAGGGGAAGGGACGTACGGGAAGGTGTACCGGGCCCGGGAGAAGGCGACGGGCAAGATCGTCGCCCTCAAGAAGACGCGCCTCCACGAGGACGAGGAGGGCGTCCCCCCGACCACCCTCCGCGAGATCTCCATCCTCCGCATGCTCTCCCGCGACCCTCACATCGTCAGGTCCGCCCCTCTTCTTCTTCAGTCTCGAACGGGAACCGATTTTGTCCGGCGGGAAATCGATCTTCGCGTGTCTCGGATCTTCGATCCGTGTTTTCGTAGCCTTGATTGCGCGACACCTGTGTTGGCTTCGTTGTTTATTGATCTGGTGTTCGATCGTATTGTACCTTGCTGAGCTGTTTCTAGGGTTTTTGTACACAATCTGCGTTTTCGTAGGGTTTCGACCTAGGGTTTGATGTCGCTACGCCGCGCTTCCATTTGCGAGACCTTTTGAGCTAGTCGGTGATTGCAGATGTACCGCGCGCTGTTGACAGTGCTATTTACGACTTGATTCGTGATCGGTCGGGGGAGTCTTGGACTCTTCCTCTGTTTCTGCTGGCTTATATGAGGGGTTTTTACGGTGTTAATCCACAGATTGATGGATGTCAAGCAAGGCCAGAACAAGGAAGGCAAGACGGTGCTTTACCTGGTGTTCGAGTATATGGACACTGATTTGAAGAAGTACATCCGCGGTTTCCGCGGTTCTGGAGAGAGCATCCCTGTCAACATTGTTAAGGTTGGTACTTGCGATTGTTTGTTTCGAACTTGAAGGTTTGTGCGAAATTTGTTGTTTGGAACTAATCACGGGTTCCGATATCACTCCGAATTCAGAGCTTGATGTACCAACTCTGCAAGGGCGTGGCTTTCTGCCATGGGCATGGGGTCTTGCATAGGTAGGAGAATCTGTCGTTTCTATCTTCATGTTCGTGTTTTCTTAAACCGTAAAACAGTCATGTCTCATTCCTTCCATGGATTCTTCTTCTTCTAGGGACCTCAAGCCTCACAATCTCCTCATGGACAGAAAGACGATGACTCTTAAAATAGCGGATCTTGGACTAGCCAGAGCATTCACCGTCCCAATCAAAAAATACACTCATGAGGTAAATTGACAACACCCCTCTTCCTCTTTTATCTTGATTTTGAGTCACCTCTGCTTTTAGCATTATTAGCTAATGCGAGTGCTTCTTGTTGTTGCAGATATTGACTCTTTGGTATAGAGCTCCTGAGGTTCTTTTGGGGGCTACTCACTATTCAACTGCAGTTGATATGTGGTCTGTCGCCTGTATATTTGGTACCGATTCTCTTTGCTCTTTGTGCTTCTTTGGGCATTTTAATGCGTTTGTCTACTGAATTGTTTTAGCGATTACTCATTGTTCATTGATGACATGAATTGCAGCTGAGTTAGTCACCAAGCAAGCACTCTTCCCTGGAGATTCTGAACTGCAACAGCTCCTGCACATTTTCAGGTTAGCTAGGATATCCATCTCTGGTTGTGCCCTTTGTAAAAACTGTTTAACATGACTTCCTTTTCTTAGCCAAAAGAAAAGAGAACTTTGTTCATCTCTGATGGGTGCTTACTTGTGATTGTGCGCAGACTGTTGGGTACTCCAAATGAAAAGATGTGGCCAGGGGTTAGCAGTTTGATGAACTGGCATGAGTATCCACAGTGGAAACCTCAAAGCCTGTCCACCGCGGTTCCTAATCTGGACAAGGATGGGTTGGACCTGCTTTCTGTAAGTTGACGCTACTTATTTGAGTTCAACTAGTGAAATAATTAATGTCAGCTCACTGATAACTGAAATTTGATATCTTCTGCAGCAAATGCTGCATTATGAGCCCTCGAGGAGGATTTCGGCGAAGGCGGCCATGGAACATCCTTACTTCGATGACGTCAACAAGACTTGCCTATGAGACTGCGGAAAGTGTAGATTAGGAATCGGGATTTGGAATTTCGGTGAACTAAAAAGAAGTGTACTGAAAACTAATTGCTTGCCTCAAGCATGACCCCTTTTGTGCACCATGTGCCTGTGTCAGTTAATATCTTTTCTAGGATGATTGTTGCCAATCTCAAGCAGTAGTTAATTGCATCATCCGCGCGCTTCTATTTATCTCAATCTGTGTCGATTGATGTTTCTAGTATGTTGTAACGAGACTGTCCTTCGTGCACGGGGCACAGGTTATGCGAGAAGAGATCCTTTGGCCAGAGTAGACGTTCTGTCTGTTTCGCCTAGATGATCAAATAAATAAGCCAAATATATTCAGCAACTCAGCACAAATAACAAATAAACAATTTATCGAATAGGTGGCGTGCGTAAAATAAAAGAGATTGCAAGAGGCTTGAGCGAGTGTTTGCTTGGGATGTATTCGTGGTTCCCTTTCACTCAGACAAGAGATTGCCTTGTTTATACTAATCAACATTTTAGCCGTTTAAATGGCTCATTTTTGGGCCGATCGCTGGCCAGAGTGGATCAACCATTTCCGTGCAAATATCCGGCCGCTCGGACCTATAAGTCCGGTTGCCCGACCCTTATTACCTCTCACAAATCCGCGACGCGTGTAACTGCGATACTTGAAATAAATGACAAATATACTCTAAGGTGATATTGGAATCCTCGAAACTAATTTGGGATCAAGGATTATTTTATTATCCTCATAAATTGGGTAAAGCATAGAAAAAATTGTCCATATGCGCGTGTACCTCATAAATATATACATTTTGTTTGTCCAATTTTCTATCCCTTAGCGTTTTTAATATTTTTTTAATTCTTTCATTTTCCATGAACGTGCTTTTTCATCTTTTCTATGAGCGAGTCGAACCGAATTCTAATGTGACACTTGAACCGATTGCTTCCAGTCTGATCTGGCTTGTTAGTCATATACCAATAAGAAAACATCATAAATTAATATTCCTAAAACAGCCTAGTATCAAATTCTTTAATAAACACAGATATTCCACGACAGGAAATTTCTATTTTTCCATATAGGCTCTGGGAAAAATACTAAAAAAAAGAAAATTCTCAAACAGGTTTTTAATTGATTAATACATTTAATTACTTAACGGCCGTTATAATGGGGGGGGGGGGGATTAAATCCAATAAATGCCTGAAGATTTCATACTACTGTCGACTCTAATATTGCTATATAATTATATATTCCTATTTTCCACATATTAAAATCCACCACGAAAACCTCGAATCACTGGGAAAAAAATCGCCGTCGACCCTTGATCGGCGCGATCCGGGGTGCGGGGATTGGAACCCCCTCGGGAGGGCTTTTCGGTAATTCCGCCGCGCGAGCGCGATGTCCAGGTGTCGAGCTTTTGCCGAGTCAATCGGCGCCGCTCGCGAAACTCTAAAAAATCGCTCCGCTCCGCTCAGCTCAGCCTCAGCTCAGTCTCTCTCTCTCTCTCTCTCTCTCTCTCTTTCTCGCCAAGGCGACCGGAATCTCTCCCCGCCGCGCCGGAAATTAGGCTGCAAATCGAGCTCGCCCTCCTTCTTCTCCGCTTCGCTTCTCGCCCCGCCGTCCGAACCCCCGGCGCTCCGTGCCAGGTTCCGTCTCGGTCCTCGTTCCGGATTGCCTTGACAAATCCTTCCACGACGCCGTTCGCTTCTCGACGCAAGGGCGCTCCGAGTTTCTTCGAGCTGAGCAGCCGGCGAGGGGCGTTCAGGTTCCGGCGGTCGCTTTTCCGTGTCTCTTTTTTCGCGTGTTGATTGCGTGAGTGAATATTGTGGAGGCTGTGGAGGTAGACACGGTTGGCTAGATATGAAGGAATTGCCCGGTGCACGAGGATCTTTAGTTTTTTTGATACAAATGCCTTGTTCATCCGTTTTAGCTCGTTTTCCGGGCAATTTTCGGGCTTTTGTTTGGGGGAAGGGAAGGAAGGACGGGGGGTGGGGGGGGGGGGGGGTGGGGAGGCGGGGGATTGAAGTACTGTTTTAGTTCTATTTGAAGAAACGGGAGAGAGCACATGAATGAATGCTGTGAGTATGCGGTAGTATTTTCCTGATGATAATGACAAGCCTTGGAGACGTGGTCTGGTTTTCGAATATTAGTGTGGTCGTGACGAGTTTGATTGTTGAGCATGCGGGTTAGATGGTGATGTTGAGCATATATCAGATATCCATGTATGGTTCCATGCCCAGGAGTGCTAATGGGTAGATTCATTTTGATTGTTGTGTGGAGCGGACTCTGATTAGGCTTCGGCATAAATTTCTCGACTTGTTATCTAATTAAACCTTTAAAGTGTAGTACTCTAGAATATGTCTTAAAGGGAAAGTAAGGGTATAACCCTTTGCAGAAGGTGTAATTTGCATTTTGCTTAGAGAAGGTAAAGGAGGAATTCGATTTGGTTTGATTCGACTGATATCTGTACAGGCTTTTTTATTTTGCTGCTCTTCTTGCAAAATTACTTATTTTTACCCCTTCCTCGTGATAGATTTGAAGTGTCTGTGACATTTAAGTTACCTGTTGTGTGTATAAACCCGACTTTGTATTTGGTTCTTTGTTCATTAGTTTAGTTGTGCGGCAGAATAACACGCCTTACATTATAGACTGTGGAGTATAATCAAAATAAAGAGATGGATGTCACTGAGAAGCCAGCAGAGAGATTGCCAGATGATTCTGTTGCCAACCTTGTTGATGCCAGCATAGAACAGCAAGAGTCATCCCTACTGAGCGAGGATAAAGAGGATAAAAACCATAGCCCGAACGGGCAATTGGTTGCTCTGGAGACTGACAATGACGAGACTCTTACATTACCAAGTGATATCACCATGAAAGAAAGTCATGAAATGCCTGAGAAGGCTGATGATGAAGTTGTTGCTGCTAATGGTGCTAAGGAAAACATCGGTGCTCTAGATGAAAACCAGGAAAATAAGAACGAGGACGTAACAAGTGACCCAGACCGGAATCAGTCAGAAATTTCCCAAAAACTTCACAATGAGGAAGTAGCAACTCCAAAAGCTGAGGCTGAGAGCATGAAAAATTCTAACAATTGGTTGATTGATCCCAAGGTATTTCAGGTCAAACCAGAAAGAGCTATTAAACCTACTTGTTTTTAGTCTAAACGCAGAGAGCCGGTTTTATTTACTTCATGAAAGTTACAGATGGGGTTTGCGGCTGAATCCGGGACTGTGGAGGAGCAAGCCGCATTTATGAAGGAACTGGAAAAGTTTCACAAGGATAGGGCCCTGGAATTTAAACCACCTAAGTTTTATGGAGAGCCACTGAATTGTCTGAAGTTAGTACATTTGGTTTTTTGCTGAAGCGAGTTCATAGGTTTGCTTTTCTGTTTGCCTAATAGCTGATCCTTTTTCTTGGAGTAGGTTATGGAGAGCTGTCGTTAAACTTGGTGGCTATGACGTGGTGCGTAAGTTTTCCTGTATTTTGGCGTTTCTGTTTTATGTTGGTACATTCTTTTAATTTGTCTTGTGTTGAGCTCTGTGTTCTGTTTACCTATGTCTTTGGATGCTATGAGCGCGAACAATAATACGAGGCTGAAGAAGTATGAACATGAACATCAAAATTCTAGCGGGATGGCTCTTGCATGATTTAGTTGAGAATGGATATGGATGTGAATGTACAGTCAATCCTTTTGCTAGTGGGATGAAATCATGATTATGACCAGACCAGCTTTAACAGCAAATGACACACAAAGTGCTACAGATAGCTTTATCTTTTGTATGGCTTGATTATGCTATATTTCTCAATGCAATGTAAAATTTTACGGTTTTGTTGTAGATAGGTCTATGTAATCCAGGTTTATGCCCATCCAATAATTGTTTTGTCACTGAAAAGTTGGACATGTTAATGGTATGGAAAGTCGTATGGCTTACAATGCTATTGGTTCTGCAATAAGGAATAACAGAATCTATTTGGAGAATGGGGTTATGAGCTTTGTGTAAAAAAAGGGTATTTTATTGAAGCCCATTTCAGCGACACAAACTTTTTGTTTTCACACTAGAGAACTTTTTGTTTGCATTCTTTCTTTCGGCGGTTGTCATTTACCCATAAGGATCCCATGTTTATAAATTTTTTCTTCTTTTTGCATTTAAATGTCATCAGAATGTATAAAATTACATATCATATAGCATCTTTGAACATTTAGTTCTTTGATGGCTTTCTTCCACTTTGATAAAGCAATGCCAGGATCAAATACTGCTCGATAGTTTTCAATATAAGTTGTCTGGCAACAACTGACTTACCTGCTGCCATGGGATGGGTTTTTGTAGGTGACTGGATCCAAGTTGTGGCGTATAGTAGGAGAGTCTTTCCATCCCCCAAAGTAAGAGTACCAGCTAAATCTCTAATTAACTGTTTCTCAGGAGATCTCATTTAGTTGATATAATCAGTTTGAGTTCGATTTGCCTTAGGTGCTATGCATATAAGACTGTTACTAGCAGCATAAACGCCTTATGTGCCTTTGCCATTTAATGTTCAATTTGCCTTTGCCATTTGATATTCAATTTGCCTCACACTTTTATGTTCAAACTTGTAGCAAGGCATATTGTTTCTCACACATTCATGTCCAATTTAATGATGTCTCTCTCTCAGGACCTGCACGACAGTCTCTTGGACATTTCGAATTTTCTATGAGAAGGTAATGCGCTAATCGGTTTTTGGGACTCGTTTGCTTTGCAAGATGGTTTACAAAGGGAAATTAAATGACATGCTTCCAGTCCCACAATAACTGAGTTATTAGCAGAAACTTCCTACGGTGAACCGTCATATAGCCATTAGAATCAGTATAGTTTTTCTGTGGACTCACATGTACAAAAAGCTGTCTTTTCTTTCAAGGCGTGAGTGCGTTTGCATGAAAAGCTGGTCATCATGGTTCAGTGGATATTTTTTCCAATGTTCTCTAAGTACAAATGAATGGCTTTGGCTCTTATAAGCTTAACGTGTATATTAGATTATTTTCATGCCACAGTGAGTTCAAGCCAGCTCCTGTTCTTAAATGTTTGACCAGTTAAATATCTTTCATGTGCGTCTTGATATCAACTTACTCGACTCGATTAAAATATTTTAGGGGACATGTTCACTTGTATCCTTGGGCGTCCTTCAGAGTGCTGTTTATGATGAACAACATAGGACAGTAGACACAATTAATTATCAAGTTACTATAATCTATTTTCCATTTACCCCTCTTTTGATATTCTTAAAAATAGCTAATGGCCTTATGCCGCCATGTTTGACTTTATTGGTTGTTTAAACCTTTGTAAGCACCTAAGTGTAGTCAACCTTGATGGATGAGTTGTCATAATATCTTCATTCTTCACGATCGCAAATCTCCACCTTCTGATGTTATATGTTTAGTGCAGGCTCTTTTGGAATATGAAAGGCATAAAACACAAAGCGGTGCACTCCAATTACCTGCTGCACCCATCCTGCAACCTACAAGCATTGAAAAGGAGGTATATGTTTCATGTTTGATATATGTTCCTCCATTACATTTTAATCGATCTTGGTGATTTGGACTTTTGTTTGGTGTACATTTTCTTCTTTCACTTGCTTTGCTGGTAGTCGACATGGGATAGTAATAGATTTGAGAAAATCTTTATGTTGTTTGAGAAGGCCATATTGCTGATAAAAGGGTCCTAAGATCTAGAGTATTAGTCAGGTGCATTTTCTCAATAGTGGAGATGCTTATGTCTTCTCAAGTTTTAATTGTGGAAGATATGGATTCTTAATTCTTAGCAAAATCCAATTCTGTTGAGTCACCTCTTCTGAATCTTTGGCTAAAACGTTTGAGTGTCTATTCATTCTTGTCCCATTTATTGTAAATGCCACCTGGTTAGTTTAGATTGACAGGTGATCGACCTAACCAGCTGGTGCCTGTGTAAGACTGGTTCTCAGTAACTCTAGATCAAGATGTTCAACCTGGTCAGACTTAAGCCCAATTCAGAGATGGAGAGGTCAAACTGGCTGGTCAGTTTCATTTCCACAATGATTAGGTGGAGAGAGATGTGTTTGAGTGTAGTTCGCTGGGTTAATAAAGGACCAGTTTTAACTTCTTAACTGCATATTTGTTGGCAATGTAAAAGTTTAGAGATTCTTAAATTGGGCCAAAATGCGCGGTCTTTTCTGTCAGAAAGTTACTTAAACCTTTAGAAAGTGGAATAATTTCATTTTGGTGCCATTAGCAAAGTCAAACTCTTCATATTGCGTGACATGCTGAGACAACGATATTATGGGACTGGGGATGTATAATTACTCACTTGACACTGGCGTAACTGCTTTTCCTGTGGTCCCCCTTCTCTTAATCTTGAGTCACAAAAACTTTGATTAGGGCACTATTGACTTATTGCTTATAAAACAGAAGGCTGATTGGTAAAATTGAGTGCTGATTAGAAAAACACTGATTAGCTGGAAATCTGTTCTGATAGCGATCATCTTCTTTTTCTCCTCCCTTAATCTGAAATTTCACGCGTAGACAAACCAAGCTGCAGGATCAAATAGGGCACGTAGGGGTGCTGCATCGCGTGCTATGAAGGGTTGGCAATCTCAGCGCTATCTTGAATATGGCGAGGTTAGCGAACCTGTTGCTTTAGCTTACAGCAATTATTTCCTGCAATATGTTTCTTTCTTTAGAATCCAACACAGAAAGATATTTATTTGTTGTTAATCTTTATTAATGTCATTTTAGGACAAAAACTTTGCCTCTACAACGAAGCGCGAAAGGAATCTCAAAAGCATAGGTATACTTTCCTTAATATCTTTCCTTTCAAACATCCATGATCATGCGAGTGTCATTATTATGATGTGTAGCCCATATTGAGCAAGATATGTCTGCCTGAAGATCTCTCCTTTTAAATAAATATGTGATGCCAGCATATGTTCATATTATCTATAATCTGTGGAGACAGGTTTACCTAGAGAGAAGACAGCAACTAATTTGGAGCATGGGGAGAGAGCTGTTCATCACGAGGCAGATAAGCAGTTCCGTTTACTTTCTCTCGTTTTCTATTTCATTCCCTTTTAATGATCCTCCTGTGCATGATGTGTAATATTAGTCTGATGAAGTATGGTTAAACTTTTTGACCTTGAATGGAGCCTTTAATGCTGATAGGTTCCTTAGGAGATAGGGGAGGAATGGAACTGATTTAGCTGAAGACCTCCTGATATGTCTGGTTTCTAAAAGCTTCTACTGATTTCCTTTTGCTAGGATTATGACGAATGTCATTGATGTCGGACCTCCTGCTGATTGGGTGAAGATCAGTGTTCGGGAAGCTGTATGTTTTTTCTTTCTCAGAGGCTTGTGCTAACTCTAGATTTATAGCTCAGCTGATACCAGTTCGATAATATTGAATGCCTCTCTTCTGTTTACAGAAAGATTGCTTCGAAGTATATGCTCTGGTCCCTGGTCTTTTGCGTGAAGAAGTAAGAACTCCAGGACTTGTCTGATCAACCTTCTAGTTTGCCAAATGGTTCTTTATTCTTCTTGCACTGGAACTAACTCTTGTTTATTCATCAATATCATATGAAAAGGTTACTCTGGATAAGTGATAGTCACAATTACTGAGACAAGGGTACATAAAAAGATGTAACTGTTCTTCGCTGTGTTGTGTTCCATCATGTTTATATTTCTTGCTCTTGTTTATGGTGATACAAGAGTGTGAGGACCACTGCCAACTGTTTTAAAAGCTTAAGTTGTTAGGTAAAGGTGTGGTTTAATATTTTAATTATTCTAACACTCTCCCTCATGTTTAGTTTGGTCTTTTTGCCTAGTACTAAGCGTGGACATATTTAATTGGAGAGGCAAATGGGGCCTGGAAATATTTGAACTCAAGACCTCCAGCTCTAATACTATGTGATATTTGGTGGGACCACTGCCAATTGTTTTAAAAGCTTAAGCTGTTAGATGAATGCATGGTTTAATATTTAATTATTCTAACAAAGAGTAAGTCATTTAATAGCTCTTAATGATGCACCTCATAAATTTCCTGTTATGAATGGGACTTCTGTTTCGTTTTTGAACATGCTCACACTTGCAATTCTCTAGATGAGGCTGAATTGTAAACTTTAAGCAGATGTATGCTTTTTGTGGTTGACCTTCTCATTTTGTCTACTCAGGTGCGAGTTCAGTCAGATCCAGCTGGACGTCTAGTTATAACAGGCCAACCAGAACAGCTCGAGAATCCTTGGGGCATCACTCCCTTTAAGAAGGTGTTTTCTTGAATCCTTAAAGTTGAGACTGACTAGAATAAATCAGATAATGAATGCTCTACAAGTTCTCAGTTTTTCATTTTGGAAGGATATATTACGGGCGAGGGTGTTCTTGTTTGGCTCTTTACCTTTCTTCTCTGGGGATCTAGTTCCTTAGACCAATGGATTCAAACTATTTGAGGCGCCAATATGTCCATGTCGAATTTCAAATTATTTAATGGATGGAATACCGACAGGCAGTAGAATATATACATTTTTTGTGGGATATAGAGAAAATAATCCACGCCATAAAATTGTCTAGAATTACCATAGGGGATTTAAATTTCAGAAACTCATGGAATTGTGATTTTCAGGTTGTGAGCTTACCATCGAGAATCGATCCACTGCAGACATCAGCCGTCGTTAGCCTTCATGGCAGACTCTTTGTACGCGTTCCTTTCGAACAAGGATCAGCTTTAACTTGATATATGATATTTAAGTTCTGTCATTTGTTATTGCTTGAAGGCTGTCTCAGATCAGATTGAGCATTATGAATGTCAGTTTTGCATTCACATTTACTCTCCTCAGTCTTCAGAATGGAAGAAAAATGAGGATCCTGTTAATGATCTGAGAATGTACCACGCGATACATGCAAGCTCTATCTATTTTAATTTCACACCCTGCAACTAGTAAGATGCCATGAGCTAATTGAGGGTTCCTTAACTGGTTATGCACCACTGCTAAGGGCCTGTAAGTCCTTTGGAGATCCAAATCTGATGTGTGGAATGATTTTTTTTTTATATTAAGGTTTTGTTAATGAGTTATCTCCGGGCATTTGTTAAGCATATTTAATAAGAAAATATTCGATTTTCAAACTATCATTTTTGTGCATTGGAAATTTTTAGTGTCTGATTTCAGTTGCTTGATAAGTGCCTCAATGGAACTTTTTAACAAAATCCAGATGTAGCCTCTTGCGTGATGCGGGGAAAAAAAAGTGCATATTCGGCCCCTAAATTTGCATTTGCTTTTCTTAATTCGGTCTTCAGAACCGTATGTGAGCAGTTAGGTTTTCGAATTCAATCGAGGTCCTCCATGGCCAATTCCAGGAAATTGAAGTTGTCTTGTGGATCGGTCTCGGCAAACGATTCAGGTGTTAGGACAATGAATGCCATTGTGGATTATTGTTCCAATATCATGGCTGACAATAGATTGATCAGTCACGTTCTCAGAACTTAGCTCATCGTGCAAGCAGAATAGAAATTTCCCTTGGGCATTTTCGACCTTTTCACCTTTAGACCTTCATGTGAAATCCTTCCTAATCCATGTGCGCCCAGTAATCAAATATCCACGACATGTCAACATCTCTTTTGGCGTGATCTCTCAAATCCAAATTGGGAACCGACCATCGATGAAGCTATTCAGGGTCACTGATCGTGGTTTAGCTGGCTTCTGGGCCTCTCTCCCATGTGAGTCATCTTTTGGTATATATGTTCACAATGAAATCCTAACAAAATTAGATGGATCTGTAAAAGTAGCACATGGTCACGATCGAATGGGGTACCCACGTTGGTCGAGTCGATCTGACACTAAAGCATCCGTCCATATTCCCAAGTAGGCCGTATTGAAATCGATGCTAAGTATTCACTGCACCTGGTAATAGTATGACGAAAACACCATGGCTCACGAGCTTTACATAACATGCACCGCAAATGATTCTAAGCGAGAAAATTGAAACTCCACCTAGAAGACAACAAATGGTCGGGATTCCTTGGCGAGTTGAATTAGTACTTGATGGGATCGATCATGCTTCTAACATCATGCCATTAACTATGAACTCTTGGTTGAGAACAGCAGCAATTAAAGTAGTTTGTGCAATTTCGACCAAAAAAAAAAAAAAGTAGTTTGTGCAAGGAAGGTGGACAGAGGACCCTTTGCACTAAATACAGAGCACTTCCGTGTGGGCAAAAATCCATTCGAAGGTCGGCCGCGTGCCGGACCAAGTGTGCCTGCTTCGCGGTATGCTCACTTCGTATACCAAGCGATAAAATAGATCATCATTCAACAAAATGTTGTCGCATCACTTGAGAATTAACATATGATCGTTTCTTCTCCATTTTTAGGTACCGGCAATCATCACCAGCTAAAAATGGACACGATACCTTGGATCGAGATATTAGATTGAAGGTTTAGCTTGGCTACCCTTTTTTGGCCGGAGCCTTTGATCTGATTTGAATTCACGAATGCGACATCCTTTTTTGCCGGCTTTGCTTATCCATTTGTTGTGCCACGAAGCAATCTACAACTTGCTTCATCTTAAAATAGAAAAGGAGAAAGGGATGAAGTCAGAAACTGGAGTTTGGAAGCAATATCCTAAGCAGGTCATGCGTTACACCAATTTTGAACCACAGGCCCCAACCCAATGTTGTCCTCATATGTTGCAAGAATATAACTTCATCGTGCAAGGTCTTTTGCCAGTTGTTCACGGGCAAAATTGCATTTTTGCTTCTCTTTTTTTTTTTTGGCCCCTCTCCAGCATAAGCAGCGATTTCTGAAAATCTCTCCTCAGAAAGCAGGTCTTAAGACAGCGAAGATCATCGCCTTTTCAGGTCGCATCAGAACAGAGCAATTTCATTCACATGGTGACGCAAGACATTCAAAAGTAATCAATTGGGAGGTCCCATTACATGTGTACAAACAAACGAACAAAAGGAAAACGATAGATCCGCTTTTGTTAAAAAAAGACTCGAGAATTCCATCATCTGGTCCCCAGGTAAGATCTGATCACTCGGAGCAAATCAAAAGACAGATCCCCTGCCCAGCTACAATCAACTACCGAGACAGAGGCTGGAACACACAACAATAAAACAGAAGACAGCGTTCCGCGATTAGGACACGACCACAGCTCGGATATCTAGGTGGGCACGGCCTGTTCACGGGGTCAAATTGGAGTACCGATTTTCGCGCGTGCAATTAAGGCAGGAGGGTAAGAAGATGGATCGTCGCCCAACCGGTCCATTTCCACGCTTCAACAGATATCACAAAGAAACAATCCCACGTGGGGTTTTAACATTCCAAAGTCCTTTTCTATTACTGAATTTGCAGCTACCCTTTCCTCTCAGTCGCATGCGCTTATTTCCATGTTCGAACACTTGGGCCATGTTCTCTCCATCTAAGAACCGACTTTTGTGATGTCTCTGCTGGATCTGTTATACTTCATGTGACTATTTACAAGCTGCCCAGCTGAAATGGCGGACATTAGGGAAAGCTCTCCAGCAAGGACTGCACCAGCGACAATGGTGGCCAGGCGCCTCGCGTTAGCTCCCGGTGACTCTTTACTTGCACCCTTGACACCAAGCAGATTCAGGCAGGCAGACTGTGAAGCCAGCTGAGTTCCGCCTCCAACCGTGCCCACCTAATGAAGTGAAATTCAGTACAAGGGAAGATCCACAAATCATGGACTGAGACCATAAGACTCTGATTGCATCACTTATCCTCCATGGGATTTACCCTTTCCGATTTGATACCATTTCTGGTCTCCAACAAACATATCAAGACTGCAATAAAACCTGCATTATTTTCTCTTTAAGTTTAACATTTTGACACCGATTGCTTTCCTTTCCTACATTAGTAAACTATCTCTACATTTTCGCATTCCATTCCCTTTTCCAATTCACAATGACCTCATTCTTTTTAGTCATGGAAAAAAAAAAGACGACCTAAAATAGTTTGAAAGGAAAAAGAGAAGTTATTTACCTCAATAGAAGGCATGGTAACAGAAATATGAATATCCTTTCCTTCATTGACAGCTTCCATCATGGTAATACAATGAGAACTCTCCACATTCTGTGCTGGATCCTGGCCAGTTGCTATAAATACAGCAGACACGATGTTGCTCGCATGGGCATTAAATCCACCAAGAGAACCAGCAACAGCAGATCCTGTAAGATTCTTCAGCATGTTGAGCTCAACTAGTGAATGTACACTGGTTTTCAAAACCTTCTTCACCACCTCTTCCTTAATAATTGCCTCACAAACAACTGATTTTCCCCGCCCTTCAATCCAATTCACAGCAGCAGGCTTTTTATCGGAGCAAAAGTTTCCTGATGCAGAATAACGAACTTAATGGCAATGAAGAAAACCAGTCTTAAAGCGATACTCGACTTTCGGTAGTTAACATTTCCTAGCAACCAACTTTTCCCCAGGAAAAAAATTAGGAAAAAGCTAAAGCGGTTATCAAACGACTATATGACTGGCTTCTTGCATACAACCACTTGGAAATCTGAAAAGGAAGATGAACATCGGTAATAAATAACAGATCTGTACTGCTGTCAATATGATCCGAGAAGTTGGTGTGTTATTATTAACATATATGCCAGCCTTTCCATAAATCAAGAAGTAAATAATAAATCCAAATTCCTTGCAAGAACCCAAGTCTTCGGTATTCATTGTACAAAAGTATTTCCCTTCAGTCTAAAACATCGAACTCGTTTATATGATCATCAAGAAATCTTGAATTTGGCTGCATGAAGACATCAAGAAAGAGAGTTTCGAGAGAATAGTAGAAAAGGTCCTTATGAATGCAGAATGTTCAAAAAATTATCAACTTGGTAAGTACCGTAATGAAAATAGTTCACCACTTCTCACGGTATATTACTGTCCTGGATATATCTGTAGAGCAAATTTATCGAGTAATAAAGGAGACTGAAATTTGCTAGATCATCTCCATTCCAAGGGCACATGAATTAAATCATACTGTTGAATGGGAATTAGACAGATGTGTTGGATGTCGTAAGCTTTCTACCAGCTGCACACGGGAAGCTAACTTCTCCGGATCAGCGGAGATACTCATATATGTATAACTAACCAATCCAAGTTACTAATTCTGACAGCCAATGATAAACTCAAGGACGAGATTCGATTTAACCGTGAAACTTTACCAGAAATGCCAATTATATCCATGTCTGGGAAATCGCTTTGAAGGAAATCCAGCACATTTTGAACCCCTTTCGACACCATGTTCATCCCCATAGCATCGCCTGTACTGCAGGTGAATCTCATGTAAAGATTCTTTCCAGCAATCGAGCATTTTATACTCTGGAGCCTGGCGAATCTACTCGATCTGCAGAACAAAAAAACGGCATCATCATTGGGAAAAGGTAATCCTCAGAAAAGGTGACCACCCTTTTTTTGGAAGAGCAATATCAGGGGAGAAAAGGCTAAAAGCCTTTCTGTCCAGGTGAATGATAGCTCATGAAGATTGAAAGCCTGATTTTTTTTCCACGTATCCTGGGTTGTCAAACTATCCAAATGCTTGCCACAAAGTTCCTGGCACAATTTGGATTTATTCACTTGACATTTTGAATATACAGATAATATTATTGGACAATCAAACTCTGTGCCCTCATCACTTAGAAGGTGAACAGTCATCATAGGAACAGGTCAAACTCGAGAATAATTGGAGAACACCCAGAAAAATCAAGGAAAAAGGTGACAAACACAATATCCACATAACTCCACCCAGCAAAATAAAGCACAAGACAAAACCTAAAACCCAAGGTAAAAATTATTAAAGAAATATAAAAAGCATCGATATAAAACAAAAACTTCCCACGAAACACTGACCTGTTGAACACCAGAGCCAAGGTCTCGAAATTGACCGGATCCTCCAAGAAGAACTTCAACTCCGACGCTCTCTTCGCGGAACCGAACCGCACGACCGGCGCTCTCGTCATGCCGTCCCTCAACAAGACGCTCGTGGCCCCACCAGATGCATAGATCGCCTTGCACCCCCTGTTCGTGCTCGCCACCAAGCAACCCTCCGTGGTCGCCATCGGCACCGAGTACTCCAACCCGTCGAGCAACAACGGACCGGCAATCCCCACCGGAATCTGCACGTACCCAACCGGCATTTCGCAGCACTGCCCCAGGATCGACGCGTAATCGAACCCATCGAGGGGCAAGCCCTTCAACGACCTCCCGGTCATCCTCTGCAGCGCCTCGCGCCGGATGGAAGCGGCCCTTCTACAGTCCCCGAGCATGGACTCGAGCGAGTACGACGGGATTTTGCCGTCCGCGACGGACTTCACGACCTCCTCGTCCTCGACGGACGACAGGGCCGAGTCGATAGGCTCGGGCTCCGCCAGCTTCGGGGGAGGACAGGCAATGGCGGCGCGGCGAGGGTCGCCGTCCTCCGGGAGGTACCCGTCGCCGGCGACCTCGTCGTCGAGGACGTCCCACGCGTCGTGGGAGGCCCGCGAGATGAAGGACTGCACGAAGCCGATGCCGAAGAATCCGAGGAGGTAGATGAAGGAGGCGATGAGGGAGACGATGGCGGCGATCTCGGGGAGGGTCACGACGTGGAGCGGGACGGAGCTGCGGATCTTGTCCCGCCACCGTTGGAGGAGGTAGTACGCCACCGAGAAGAAGAGCGTGAAGAAGACCGCGTTCGTGAGGCACAGCGGCAGCGGGAGAGCGTCCGACGCCTTCGGCGACGACGAGGGCGGCGGCTCGCCGCGGCGATCGACGGCCCCGGCCGGCGCCGACAGCCGGAGATCCTTCCGGTCGTCACCGTGGCGGCGGCGGTGGGGGGACTTCGGTTGCCGCCGGCGGACGTCCATCGCTGTCACCGGCGGCGAGGGCTGAAGGAGATCGGCCTCCTATATAGCTCGCGCAGAGACGGAGACAGAGAGAGAGCTGGAACAAATGAATATGAGCTGGAGCGACGGAGGTGGAAATTTTCAAGAAGCCTCCTTTTTTTTGTGTGTTCGAACGAGAGGAAGTCGGAGACGACGACACGTGCGAGGCGCCGTCTCCCGAGACGCGCACGTGCCGCCGGGTGGTGGCGGGGGGCGGGGGCGCGCGCAATTCCGCTCTTGCCCCTGCGCCTCGCGCTAAATTTGACGAATCTGGCCCCGGGAAAGCACGGCGAAAGTGAGAAGCCGATGGAGGAGAAGAGAATCTCGAATTTCTCTCTCTAATCGTTTCGGTTCCGCGGGGACGATGGGGAAAAGCATCGTCCGAGAATTCGATTCAATGTAAATCCCCCGTCGCCTTCGTTGACTTTAACCGATTTCGATTCGGTCCGAAGCTCTTTCCTTTCGCACTTTTTGATACGTTTGGAGCAATTATGGGGGCCCCTCGTTCCTCGCGAACTCGACGTTTCTAAGGCGTCCCGAAATGGGACATCGGTCTTTTTGAATTCTCAATCGCGGAGGAGAAGAACCCGTTTGCCTCTCTTATGGAGCGAGTCTCGAAATTTCCGAGACGCTTTTTTGCTCAAGTGAAAACGACGCGTTGAAAACGAGCGAACGTATTCGGTTTGTCCCTCTCTCCTAGGGGTGTAAAAAAAGCCCGAGCCGACCCGGCCCGACCTGACCTGGCCCGATCCGAAATTTTAGGGTATTTTGGGGTCAGCTCTTATTTTCTCTGGGTATGGATTTTAGATGTGGGTATTTATTAAGATCGGGCCGGGCCGGGCCGGGTCAGGTCGGGCTGGGCTTTTTTGACCTGGCACCACTCCCCCCCCTCTTAGGGGTGAGCGGTTCCAGGTTCCGGGTAGGTTCCGCCTGGAACCTGGAACCTACCCTATCACAGATTCCAGGGTCGGTTCCGGGTTCCAACAGGTTCTTTTTTTTTTTTTAGTTAATCAAAACGAAAATGAACATTCATAAAAAAGAATACAAAAGACAAATTATAGAAAAGTCACATTTTTTCTTAAAAGAAAGGGGATAGCACGATAAATAGTAATTGTTGGGATGCAATACATATGACTTTAAATTCCAAGGTAAGATGCCACATTTTTCTCAATACATATCACCTTTCTCTCCATTGAAAGAAGCCCCATCACAGTACCGTATCCTTACTCTGTTCCAATTGAAAAAATCTGCCAGCAAAGCACAATCACTCGTATGACAGTTCCAATTTGAATAAACTATGGCAAAGAATCGTTTCGAGACAGATTGAATCGTTAATAGATTTTAAATACCAGGGTTTCCTTCAGCTTTATTACTCAATATTCCTGTGAAAGCTACTTCCTTGTCCATAAACTTTGATGAACCACGACGAGTAGTTTTCCTGTAAACGCAATTCCTCATTGTATTGCACCATCCCCCACCCTACAGCAATGTAAAACAACATCAAATGGCTTATAGAAAATGCAGACAGAAAAAGAATCAAGAATTGGAGTGCCATGAAGAACTGAGCAAGAAAACCATGCAGTAGAGAAGAAATAACATAAGTTTGCAAAATTAACTAGCTTAAGTATGCTCTTTTAAATCATATAACATAAAGTCCATTCAACAAACCTCTAAATGGACCACCCAACTGTTTGCACCAGATCCAGAGCCATTGTGAAGATGATAACCGGGCAATGTACCATCTAAGCAGACTGAACATTGTAGAACAAGATTAAATGAGAACCTCAAACATCAATTTTTCAGCTTCGAATATTCTCAAAAAAACACCAAAAAAAAAAAAAAGAAAAACCTTGTTATTCTATCGTGAGCTCAAACGAAACAGGCAAAACAACCAATGGCACGAGGATGTTAGGAACAGAACAGTGGATCAACCAAAAGAAAATCTCCAAGAAATAGGACGCGAGCCCGTCTTAGTTACGTGCACAATAATCAATATCTGGAAAATCGAGAGCAAAATTCTAACCGGGGACACAAAATAACGCAGCTTAATAAACAAGAAAGACCAAAATCTTGTAAATCCATAAGTTGCCTACGAATGAAGCGAACCCAGACACTACTGCATACAGAGAAACACCAACCTTCTTAACTATGAATCCCGCACCACTTACGAGCAGAAAGTCATTAAAAAAATGGGGGGCTGTTAAGAAAAGTCTGAGAAAGTACTAGCTCCTTTGGCAGCAGCACCCTCAATGAGAGTGAGGCCAACCATGAGCTCACTCATGGTTGTTTCCCCTTTGGCAGCAGCAACAAAAAGAGCAAATCTCGAAGGCCCTTAAGATACGATCGCAATCGACAATTAACCAATCGGTTAACTCCCCCCCTTCCCTCTCCTCACATTCAATCGGGGACAGATCCACCGCATTTTCCCTCTTCTCACATTCACTAAGCGATGAATCCAGATGAATGTGCACGCAAGAGCACGATTTCACGCAACTCAGGCACGATCGTCGTGACTTAATTCAATCGATCGATGCAAAAGATGAACAGAAGCAACTGTGGGAATTCAAAGAGAGAAGGCGTGAATGGCAGGGGTTGTTCGAAGACGTTACGTACCAAAGCGACGGAGCTTCAGAGGAGGAAGACGGCGGCGAGCCCGAATAATCGCAGCGAATCCGCGTGGGGAGATCACGAGACCTGCGGCGAAGAAGGCGGAGCGAGGCGGAAGCGGGAGAGAACCGCGGAAGCGGGAGCGAGGAGCAAGGCGAAAGCAAGAAGCGGGAGCGAGGCGGAAGTGGAAGCAGGAGGGACAAGATGGAGGGACAAGGTGAATTAGGGTTTCTAAATACCAAATGCGTAGTTTATGTTTTAATTTTTAGGGATCCGGTTCCTGGTCCCGGTTCTTGGTTCCGGTTCCGGTTCCAATTCCTATAGGAACCGGGAACCAGAATCGGAACAGCCGGGTCCTAAAAATGGGGAACCGAGAACCGGACCCTCTGTCCATGGAACCTGGAACCGAACCGGACCCATCGGGTCCGGTTCCCGATTCTACCCTAGAACCGCACTCACCCCTACCCCCTCTCTCTCTCTCCCCTTCGCTTCTTCTCTCTCGGCCGTGAACTTCCGTCTCCCTCCTTTCACTCTCCATCTAGTTCTTCCTCGCCTCCCACGCCCCCACGATCAGGGACAGCTTTCGATCCTCCCTCTTCGATTCCGACCGTTTCCCCCCGGCGCGATCGATCCCTCCTTCGCCGTCGATCTCCGCGAGTCGCCGCCGATTCGACGACGCCGACGATGGAGGAGCCGGGGGAGCGCCCGGGGAGAAACCCTAGATCTCTTCTTCTTTTGCTTCTTCTCCTCGGTGCTTTTTTTTTAGATCCCTTTCCGCGGGGCCGGCGGGGGGCGGTCGCTGATGGTGGATCAAGAGGAGGAGTACTTGAAGATGGCGCTGCGCCTCAGCATGCAGCACTCGCCACCGGAGCCCAAGCGGAGCAAGCCCAGGGACGCCGCCACCGCCGCGGCCTCGGCCGCCGCCGCCGCCGAGAAGAGGATGCTGGCCGCGAGGAGCGCTGGAGCGGCGTCGCCTCCGTCGCCTGCTCCATCTCCGTCACAGTCCCCGTCGTCGGTGTCGACAACGCCGAATAACGAGAAGTCTAAGCCTGTCCCGAGGAGAGACGGGGGATTCGGTGTGGATGATGGGCGAACTGGGAGGGGACTGTCGAGCAAAGAAGCGCATCAGTTGTTCTCGATGGTTTTCGGACCCTAAACCCGACCCGACCCGACCCGACCCGACCCGACCCGACCCGACCCTATTCTTGGAGTATATACTGAACAGGGTCTTGGGTCGGGTCGGGTCGGGTCAAGCGTGACCCTGTATATTTCGGGTCGGGTCGGGTCGGGTATCATGAAAGCCCGACCCGACCCGACCCATTTACACCCCTACTCTCTCCTATCTAAAGCTCGATTCCAACCGATCTAACCGATGCGCTCTGGTCGAGATTTAAATAGTTTTTCGACAAGTCGTTCGCGTCGCGCGCGACCAGAGTTCCTGGGCATCGCCCTCCCCCGTTCGCACGTGGCCGCCACGGCAATATCTTGCCAGAAAACAATCGTTTACGATGGGATTAAGACCGGGTGCCCTTACTTGGGATGCGCGGATGAGTTTTGCTCGACAACATAAAGTCGGTCGATGCGATGTTTTTCTCGTGCTCCGTAATTAGTTTATTGAAAAATGAAAAGAAAAATTTTCGTTATTGACTTATGAGTATCGTTAACACGTGATCCATAACATCTCTTTCTCCTCAACGTAATTAGGGTTAATAGCACAGAAAATCCCAAACTAATACACGTGTGATAATTTTACTCTAAACTAATTTTTTGACCACAAAAAATTTCAAATTAATATACTTATAGCAATTTTACCCTCTGTTAGTTTTTATTAAGTTTTACAGTCAAATTCTTGAGTTGGATAACATGTGCCAGTTTTTGACTTAAAAAAAAAGCACGTGTGAGTTGACGGATGTACCGGTTTTACCTCCGTTTGTTACAAATGTACCAGTTTGTGATTTTTCGTGATATTAATCCAATTTAAGGGAAGATAAATTTATCACAAATGTAACGATTTAGAATTGTCAAAAAATTAATTTAGATAAATTTATCATATGTGTGTCAGTTTAAAATTTTTTGTGATATTAACCCACGTAATTATACACATCAATTTCTTGGAATAATTAAGAACCTAACAATCATTGTACTTCTTACTTCACCAACATGGACGGCTGCTTCCTTAAGGTCAGCTAAAAGCATTTTACTTCCTGATTAAGGTAAAAAGTAAAAGCACGCGTCCGTTCTTTTTCTAGTCTTTTTTCTTTTAAAGATTTTTTGCATCTTGTCCATTCGGCTTTCCTTCAAGTTCCCTTAGAAGATTTTCCTTGCTTAGATTGCTTTCTAATTAATTTTTTTTTTTAAATTAATTATTTCCAATTCTTATAAAAAAGATTACGAGTCCCCACCACACCATGTTTTTTTTTGGCCCTTGGCGTGATTAACGTCCGATCAAGTTGATTTTGTGGTTATTATTATTTATAAATCCGCCAATCATCGTCGCTCGAAATGCACGTGGGCCCCCGTCGTCTTCACATAACGTGAATCCAGACATGAGCCAACGCAACAGCTCCAGCTCCAGCATATTCTTTGTCCTTTTTTACCCTACGAAAAGTATTAATTGCGCAGCATTACGTGGATCTCTCGACATCTAATCGTGTTTTTAATTTTGGTAAGTTCGAGAGATTGGATCGAATATATCGAATGTTTAGCGATTACATCGAATATTTAGAAGTAGTTAAGGACCGCGTCGAGCGAATTAAAAGTCTAAAGTTGGCATCGTGCGCCGGACCAAATTTCAGGGCAATTTTGAAAAGAGAAGAATAATTGAATTTTCAGTAGCGAATTTATCCACCGTTGGATCCGATGGTTGGTGAGAGAGTGGGTAGACACAAATAGTCGTTGAATTTTGGCTCAATGTGCAATGTAATTCATGAACTTTAATTTATTTAATATGATTTCTAAACTTTAACCCTATATTTAATTTGATCCCTCAAACTTTTAATTTATTCAATGTGGTTCATGGACTTTGGATGCACGTTCAGTATAGTCCCTGAACTATAGCCTAATATTTAATGTACTATATTCAACATTTTCATATAGTTCAGGGACTATATTGAATAAATTAAAAGTTTAAGGATCACATTACATATTGAGCCAAAGTTTAAGAACCGTTTGAGTCATTCCTTCAAATTAACGAAGGATGGCGCGTCGTCTAATTTTCTTCGATATATTATTGCCTGACTTGAGAAAAAGACAAGCGAAGGGCAATATGGTCTTCGGGCATCGCTGATTTCAGACCACATTTCTTCGTTTTTCCTAAGGAAACAGTTTGGCTATCGCGCTGGGTGATGTGTATACCTAATATTATTTTAATAATTTCTTTTTAAAACAACAGACAATTATATTAGAATGCTCTCGATCATTTTATAATTTTAGGGTTAATATCATGAAAAACTCCAAACTCATACACCCGTAATAAATTTATTCCAAACTAATTTTTTGATCATAAAAAATCTCAAATTGGTACACCCGTAACAAATTTACCCAAAACTACCACAAAAAAATTCAAAACTGATACATTTGTAATAAATTTACCTTTCGTTAGTTTTCATTAAATTGAATTAATAACACGAAAAACCACAAACTGGTGACAAATAAAGGGTAAAAACCCAAACTGGTACACCCATCAACTATCACGTATCATTCAATTCAGCAATTTGACGGTAAATTTGTCACGGACGTACCAGTTTGGGATTTTTAATGGTCAAAAAATTAATTTGAAGTAAATTTGTCACGGGTGTACCGGTTTGGAGTTTTTTGTGGTATTAACCCTATAATTTTAAGGTCATTTGGGATTATATCTTTACTATTTTCAAAAGGCGAGTGTCACTTGTAGCCACGCAAGAAGTAACGCAATAAGTTAATCGCCCGAGAGTCTCACTTTGGTGAAAAGTAATAATTTGGATTATTTCCGTAATAAATCATTCGCCTCACATGAGTAGCAAAAGTGAGAAAGAGCGATAAAAATTTTGTTAGATGGAAATGATCGATAATTTCGTTTGAGTTTCGATTGTCAACTTCAAATGGTTTTTGTATGAACTTTTAAGAATATCAAATTAAATGATGAAATATAAAAAAAAAATTTCCTACTTATGCAACATTTCATTATCGACTTCTTAAGATAAGAGACGCAGCCGTTCGTTTCGCGCTCTCACATGAAAGGGACCGAGGGGACTAGTGGGAAAGTCAAACTTTCCCTTAGGAACAAGGCGACCACGGACGTTCACATGCGACTCTATAGATGGTGGCCGCACCGCACGTGACGTTGTGGGTAGTGATAGGGGTGAGCATGGTCCGGGTTGGGCCGGTCCACCCCCTAACCCTAGGACCAACCCGCACAGTGTTGGTCCTCAATTTTGGGACCGAGGACCGCCCATCGGTTCCATGGACCCGCCCGGGAACTGGACCGCCGGTTCCCGGGCGGGTCCATGGAACCGGTCCCACCAAGTTTTCCTGGACAAATAAAAAAAAAATATGTGGACCAACATCGGATCAACGTAACAAAAAGAAAAGAACATAACTTGCCATACAATTCCTATATTATGATCGGTTCTATTAACCACATCATCCATAAATCAAGTAGGTACCCATCAAATGAGTGTCCAGAGATAAGAGAGCAGAGAGTTATGAGTGTCTAGTTAGGTTTTTTTTTTTTTTGGTCAGGTTTTTTAATTAAAATTTTAATAAATAAATATATTATTATTATATTACCGGTCCGGTCCCGGTGGGCGGGTGGGCGGTTCCACACCGGAAACCTGGAACTTGACCGATACCCACCGGTTCCAAAAAATTGGAACCGGGAACCGGACCGGTCCCCTTGGGAACCACCGGTTCCGGTCCGGTCCCGGGCTGTCCTGGGCGGTCCTGGGTTTTTTGCACACCCCTAGGTAGTGACTAGTGAGCTGGAAAAATAAAATGATAATGACATAAATGATCTCTGAATTTTTATCGGATACGTAATGTGATCTATGAACTTTAGCCCGATGTGTAATGTGATTCCCGAACTTTTAATTTATTCAATGTGATTATTGAACTTTTGATATATGTTCAATTCTGTTTTCGAAATATGTTCAATATTGTTTTTCCATTAATTCAAGTTCAAGAATTAGTTCACGCACTAAATTGAATATATACAAAAAATCGAGGGATCATATTAAATGAATTAAAATGTCATGGATCATATTGCATATCGATTTAAAGTTCAGAATCACATTACACAATTTAAAAATTTAGAGATCACGTTTGGAAATGACAATTTGTATCGTTTTCCCAAAAAAAAAATCAATCCTTTTCCTTTAATCTTTTCATCTGGAAAAATCAGCCTTTCGTGCTGCTTTGAAGCTACTCCGTCTAACTACCTGAAGCTACTCCTGGTGGCCAAGGTGTGTTGAACAACGAACGCCAAAGAAAATGGAGAGGCACGTGTCTGAAGTTTGCCGTTGTCTGAACGCCAAAGAGAATGGACAGAGGGATTTTAACTTGGCTTTCAATTCGGTTTGGTTAACTGAACCGAACCGAAATAACCCAAACCAAAAAAAAAAATTCACTGATTTTCCATTATCCGAACCGAAACTGAAACCGAACCGAAATGCACGAAATTTTCGGTTCGGTTCAGTTTGGTTCGATTCCGGTTTCGGTTCGGTTCTGAGAACCCTAGAAAACACTGTGTAGTGGTTCGGTGGCCATCGCCAGTGGATCTTTGGAGCCGCGGGAGAGGATCACGCAAAACCATGTTGGTGATGTTGCACGAGCATTTCATTAACGACTACCGGGCTTCCGTATCGACACTGTCGGCATTACCCATCGTCGTCCTTTTGCTTGGCACGGGGTCGTTCTCAACTGAGTAGCGTGCGGTCCGTTTTCTTTACTTCTCCCGCTTCACGGTGAGCGGACCGATACATTTCCAGAGAGAGACGGAGAGATAAGAGAGAGAGAGAGAGGTCAGTGGAAAATGGAGAAGGAGAGAGTGTGCGTGACGGGGGCGGGAGGATTCGTCGCCTCGTGGATCGTCAAGCTTCTCCTCTCCAAGGACTACACCGTTCACGGAACCGTTCGACGACTCGGTCTCTCTCTCTCTCTCTCTCTCTCCATTCAATTTCTTTCCCTATATCTTCCTACTTTTGCTTTCCTGGTCTTGAACTAGCGCTTTGCCTTTATTTACTATTGATGATGAGAAACATTTACTTAACCATTTCGCGTTCCGCTGGCTTTCCTCTGACTATTCTCGCGATCCTATGTGGGATTCTTCAGTTGGGACCAGAGATGTAGTCACTCATCGTGGCTACTGCCATACTCGTCGGCTTGGTTTGCTAGAGCTAATTTTCTGTGTTGGAGCAACATCCATCGGTCCATAGCTTTTGGGTCAACACGTACCTGTTGGAACGAATTTGTGTTCTTCTTGCACGATGTTCCGTGGCGTTCGAAACGCAACCGGTTGTGTTTTTCTAATTTGTTGCATGTTCCCACATTGGGTTTCATCGTTCATTTACCGATGAGTATGAAATTCTATCCTCTGTTAAACAAGACCAGGGATTCCTCAGCGGTTCACATGATCTGAACTGTAATACGAAACAAATATATGCTGCGCGGAGTGAGAATTTACAGTTAAACTACCTTAACCACGTTAAGGAAATCTGCTAGGAGTATACAAAGTCTCATTGGAGCATGTTATGTAAGCCTGTCTAGCCTTTTACGGGGATTTGGTTTTCTTCCTATCAGTTGTTTACAAGATCTTTTATTTTAATTTTATTTTATCTTGGGTATGTGCAGATGGGAAGTACGACCATTTGAACAAGTTTGAGAATGCATCTGAAAACTTGAAACTCTTCGAAGCAGACTTGCTGGATTACAATTCTCTTTGTTCTGCTATCAAAGGATGTACTGGAGTTTTACATGTTGCTAGTCCAGTTCCTTCCTCCTCTGTACAGAATCCTGAGGCAAGAACATGTCCATCCAGCACTCGCTGAGTACTGCACCTGTTTAAGTTGGTTTTAGCGTGTCATCCACACGCGCTGCATTCTCAACGCTGTCCTTTATCACTTTGGAAGGAATTTACTGCATGTTAAAAATCCTTTAAGCATTTTGTTTTAATGATAATCATGTATAGAAGAGAGATAAAGAAGAGAAAAAGGAACATACGATCGTTAACGTGGTTCAGACGACCAAGAGTATAATCCCTTGGAAGCTTACATCCACGGTGATAAATCCCCAATTCATCTTATTTTTTATGGGAGGATTCATTATCCTTTAATAGAGAGTAATACAATGGGTTACAGTCACTAATTTGGTAACTACAACTATTGCACGACCCAGCATGATCTCCTACTATATTGGGATTAAGATCATCCGGCATCCTTATCGTTCCAACACATTTTAAGCTGCTCAAGTCAATGAATAGGATCTTTCTTGTCCTTTTCACACATCTGATTAACTTGTCACAGATAGAACTGCTTGAACCTGCTGTAAAGGGAACACTAAACGTTCTCAAGGCATGTTCCGAAGCAAAAGTGAAGCGGGTCGTTTATGTGTCATCCATCTCTGCAATTGTAATGAATCCGATGTGGCCAAAGGAGCGAGTGAAGGATGAAACTTGTTGGTCGGACAAGGAATACTGCATTACTACCAAGGTATCTTGTAACTGACTCTCTAGAACTTACGGGCTTTCATCTCATGTTCATTTCGCTCCCACAAGTTTGATTTGGGTCATACGGCCCCCCAAAGCTCTCTTAATTGTCTCAAGATCACCCCTCAACTTCCTTGATGTCCTCGATTTAACGGATTGGATTAGATGACTTGCATTTGAAATATCTTTGAGGTCAATTTCACCACATAAACTGTCAATTCTTTTAGTAAAGGGATACGTCATGTGCAATTCAGGATCATGCTATTTGCTTGGAGTGGAATTGAAAGAAAGGAGTCAAAATTGACATCTGGTGGGAAAATTATGCTCTAATTACTTAACAGCTGCACGTCACGCGATCAAAATACAACCAAGTTTGCGTTGGTGGTCAAGCTTTAGCTTCATCTGAGACAAAATGTAAATAACTAAATAAAACTTCAGGAGGCAATCTGGCACAGATCGAATTTTGGTGGCAATGGGTAAAAAATCAGGGGAAATCTTGAATTGCCCTTTCGTAAACATAGATTGTGAGAACAATATGCATTGTTCCCATACTTTGCTTTGTGTCGGGACATTTTACTTTGTTTCTTTCCTTAAGTTTCATGCTTTACTCCATCCATCACCTCTATATAATTACAATTTGCAGTATTATCTTCAAAGTACTGACTTCTTAAGTTTTCTTTATATCTGCCATAGTTTGCCATGAACTTTTGAGCACCGCTAGTTGTACTTTTGATGATTCCCAGTTGCAAGGACTGATGAGGTACCTCTTTTCCTTTAGGAAAAATGACATAAATAGTCCCTGAACTTTAACCCAATGTGCAATCTCTTTTCATTTAAATGACACAAATAGTCCCCGAATTTTAGCCCTGTGTGTAATGTGGTCTCTGAACTTTTACCCAATGTGCAATGTGGTCTCCGAACTTTTAATTTGTTCAATGTCGTCCCTGAATTTTTGGTACACGTTCAATTTATTCCCTGAACTATATGAAAATGTTCAATGTAGTCCTACTACATTGAACATTTTCAATTTACTATATTGAATATTTTTATATAGTTCAGGGACTACATTGAACATGTACCAATAGTCTAGGGATCACATTGGACAAATTAAAAGTTCAGGGACCACATTGAACATTAGACTAAAGTTCAGGGACTACATTGAATAAATTAAAAGTTTAGGGACTATATTGCACATTGGACTTACGTTCAGGAACTGTTTGTGTCATTATCCCTTTCTTTAACTATTTGAGAAATTCTCAGTTTGAGTGATTCATCAATATGCTTTCTTCTTGTTAGGGGGATATAGTTTTACCTTATTGTCATGCTAGTTTGAGGTATAAGTCTGAGGCACATGCATTTATAGCCGCATTAACAGCTATTCCACTTATGCCACAGAACTGGTATGGCCTGTCAAAGAGGGAAGCAGAAAGTGCCGCTGTCGAGTTTGCAAAAGTAAACGGGCTTGATATGGTAAGGATTTGCCCCGCCCTTGTTTTTGGGCCTCTTCTGCAGTCCAGGGTGAATGCAAGCAGCTTGGTCCTTGTAAAGCTTATGGAAGGCACTTATCTGAGGCTTGTTAATGGTAATCATCTCTGCCAAGCATATGCTATGCTGTTACAACTGTTGACATCACGTTGAATCATCCCTGGAACCTGTGGGCATTTGTGTGTATGAGCATGAATATGTTTGATGTGTACCCATTATGTGTGTTTTTTTCTGTAAAATTACTAATATACATAAAGCTATCTTGAATTGTCCAATACTTCTATATTACAAGTTTCTATTACATTCAAGATGCTTTTGTATATCTTGCCAAAAAAAAAAAAATATGCTTTTGTATAAGTTTCCTATGAGTAGTTTGTGACAAGTAACCATAGGAAAATTCCACTTTGCAATTACTATGGTAGTGGTATCGCCAAGCATAGTCGGGGTAATATGAGGCTAGAAATTCTGAAGAAACCGGGTAATGCTATTTCATTTGCATGCTTTGGTTTGCATATTTTTGGATCTCCATCTTGCGATGAAGATCGAGGAAGCAGGGATTGGTGAGCTTTTTCTTATCTGTCCGTGTTTCAAATAGAGTTTTATCTAATGAAACTCATCATGCACTTCTCATTTGCCATTTCATGCCTGAATGCTTCTATAATGGGCTTAGAAGAGCCATTCCTTGCAGTCGAGAAGAACTGGTCTAATCTGCTTCGAAAATGATAACTTTAAATAACAAAGCTATGACAGAAAAAGGCCTTAGCCTCTTGATTGTCTCATCTCTTTCTATTTCTGAAAGATGTTTTGTGGTGTATGCTGATGATGAACATTTTCATTTCGTGACTATGAAATTTTAGAGAAAGTTGCAGTTTTTTATGACAAAAACTTTGCAAATACACATGAGAACCTGCCATATAGGATAATAGCTAACCCGACGGCATGATGCACAGATGGGGATGATTCCATGCCAAACAAGCTCAGGAATCTAGTGGATGTGCGTGATGTAGCTGCAGCTGTACTTCTGGGATATGAAAATCTCGAGGCAGAAGGGCGTTACGTATGCACGGCACATGCTATCAAGACTCGCGATTTGGTCGTCAAGCTAAGGAGTTCATACCCAAATTACAGTTATCCACAAAAGTAAGTTGCCCAATTCTATAATTTCAGAATCAATATACTACTACCTTCTTAATTGATTGTATTTCTTAAGTGAAGTAGAATTATGACAAAATATATCCATCAGATGCTGCATCCTTATTTTACATTACGATCCATAACTGGTGGGAAACTTACACAATTCCTGTAACTTTGAGATTATCTTTGTTACGCAAAACAGTGGAAGCAAGGTACAAACGCAAACAAACAAGAGAGAAATAAATGCAGAAAATAAACCTAATACAGAGAATTCAAACGGCCAGGAGTGCCTACTCCAAGAGAGGAGATCGATAGGATGTTCCACTATAATCAACAAGAGGAGATTAGAATTGCTTGCAACACATAGTCTGCAAGTGTTTTCCAGACCAGGTATGCCGGGAAAGACTCACAAACTTAAATGAAAGAGATACTAAGTGTTTATCTTACACACCCACATTCCTGGATGGCATCCTGAGCTTTATCTTGATTTAGGCTTGACGTCTGTACAAAATTAGGTTGAAACCCACTTTAATATCAATCCCTTGCACGCTCAGATGTTCTCCTGAAGTGCGATGGACATACAAATTCCTTCGGAATTCTCACTGGCCAAGTCGATTGTCAGGCCTTGATATGGTCATATGGTTGAAGTCCTCTTTTCTTGCCTAGCCGAGGCAAGGTCGGACATCACCGGATGTCCGATCCTACACCTTGGAGGTCTGTGAGCACTGATTCGAACACATGGTAGCTGCCAATCCCCGCTCCTTCACTCCAGGCATCCCTTCCTTAACTAAGGACATCCGTCTCATGTCTTCACACACTCCGGATCATCTCACTTGCTTCGGGGGTTCTTGAATTCCAATCTCAAGCCAATTCCAAATCGAATTGGGTCTAAACTTCGACCCACATTCTACAGTCTTCAATTGTGTTATTAATATCGAAAACTGTTTTTGGGTGACTGTATTTTCTATGTGATTCCAATTGAGGTCAGTTTGCAATTCACTCGCGGGAACAAACTTTATGGTGAATTATACTTAGGGGAGATTACCGTGACAGATGATCTATATATAACACAGCAATGCTAGCTTTGCTTTTATTTTTCCCATGTATAGTTGATATATGACCAATGGAAAACTTTTTCCAGAATTGCAGTAATCTTATAGAAAACTTAAAAGTGGAATGACCTTTTTAAAAATATTGCAAAAGCTGAATGACAGGAAAAGCGAGTTGTCCTAATAATGTTTGATTTGTGCAATGCCATCCATTAACTTGCAAGTTGGCCAACTTTGTTTCTCTTTCGGTTAATTTTGTAATCTTGTCTTATTTTGTTACTTGCTTCTAGTTTTAGTGAGACTGATGAAGAAGATAGGCTGAGCTCGGCAAAACTGCAGAGGCTAGGCTGGTCTTACAGGCCACTGGAGGAAACTTTGGTTGATTCCATTGAAAGCTACCAGAAGGCTGGGTTGTTAAACGGCAAATGATTCAGGTTATAATGATTTTACGTACTCGTCAACCTAAAATCACTTTCTTTTCATATTTTTCATCATGCATGATGCAGTAGCAATTGTTGGTTGTTTCAGCAGAGGACACTAGTATGCGGTTTTGCTGCTTACTTGGAGTCCTAGGCACGGTGGAGACAGTTTCTTTCCGAAGTTACCTTTTACTGATGAAATTGTTTGGCTAGTGTCTGAGGATTCAGCATTAGCATTAGGCATTGTATTGGCGCTGTTTGTCTCGTGTAGAGCCATACTTTGCGCGTGAATAGAAAGAAGACAATCTTGGGATGGTGCAACATCGACTATCGAGCTTAGACCCGTATCAAGGGCCCAGGGGCAAAATCCCTGTCATGTACATGGTCGTACGAATTGGGCATCAGTCATGACCTTACAGCGCCTTGGGCCGTTTATCTCTCCTGAGGAGATGGAAGGCTTTACCCCTAATCAGATGATATCCGTGTAATTCCGTACTTGAACTTAAAACAATTCATGATGGGTTACGGGACTAAGAGTTGAAGGATTTTTTGTGAAAAGGAAAAATTCTCCTCGTCAAACCGAACATGACGCCTTATAAAAACACGACCACTTGACCGATCAAGGCAATGATAGCCTTTGTGATTTGATGCATAGCCAAGAAATATGCATGGTATAGAATGAGCTGCCAGCTCATGGGAGACACGAGGTGGAAGAAATGAATAACAAATGCATCTAGAAATTCGAAAGAACGAGCAATCAAACTAGAACCCAAATAAACGGTGGAAAAGAGAAATATCATAGAGGATAGGAGTGGAAAGCCGATTAATAGTGTAAACAACAGCAAGAAGAGCATTAAACCAATATGAAGGAGGCATATGAGCATGAATTAATAAGGTTTGAGACATTTTGACTAAGTGTTTGATTTTGTGTTCTGACAGACCATTTTTAAATGGGATGTCTGGACAAGAAAAGCGTCGAATATTACCATATTCATGTTAGTACGTTTGGAACGAATTACTGGTATATTCATCTCTCCCATTAGTTTGTAAAAGTTTAATTTTGGCATTGCACAAATTTTCGATAAAACAACAGAAGTAATGAAAGTGTGTAGCCACTTCAAACTTATTTTTCATGGGAAAGACCCAAGAGAACCGAGAGTAGTCATCAATGACTAACACAAAATATTTGAAACCGGAATTAGATAAGATAAAATTAGACTCGTCCATACATTAGAATGAATTACGACTAAAGGAAAAAATGCACGATGACTAACAGACTCAAAAGGCAATCGATGAGATTTGCCCACAAGACAGGACTCACAAGATATCGAATTAGAACTAGAATTGCAAAGATGACTCAAAACTTGTTTATTAAGATGGCTAAGATGAGCATGCCAGCGAGTGAGTAAAGTAAAGGAAGCCATGATAGGATGCAAGTAAAATGACACCAATGAGTTGGAAATAGGATGAAAACCATGAGAAGAATTAGCTTGGATGAGAACTTCCCCAGTTCGTTGATCCTTCAAAGAAAAGGATGTAAAATCGTTAACATAAGAATTTTAACGGCAAAGTTGAGTAACATAGAGGAGATTGCGAGCAAGAATAAGGACATGATAGATAGGAGTTAATAATAAAGATCAAGAACCAATATGTAAAAAGGCTTTACCAACTTCTTAGGCAATAAATGACCATCACTAACTGAGACTTTTGTCAAATCGTAAAAGGATCTAGGATTTAGGATATTACTAATATCATGAGTCATGTGTGCCGACCCTTTGTTGTCAAGATACACATTGGATTAGAGGTCTCACCAACCGAGAGAGCTGAGAAGGTGTCTGATAGATTAGTGATGGTGAAGGTATGGGTGAATCGTTGTGCCCAGCCCCCCATTACAGATTTAATAAGTAAGAGGAGGCCTAGATTCAAGAATGTCTCCTTGGATGAATGGAGGAACATAGGACATCGAACCCCCACGGGGCCTACCAAAGGAGGCGGAGGAGCGATCGCCATAGGGTAATGCCAACGGACGACCTACCAAGGACCCCCCATGATGAATATCAAATGAAGATGAGGCATTCAATTTTCGAAGAAATAATTCTTCTTGGATGAGGAGGCGTGACTGTAGATCACCCATGGAAAGAATTGTAGAGTTATTGGTGACAATGGTGACGAAGGGATCTACTAAGACCGGAGCCCATTGACGGCTTGAATCACAAGTCTTTATTAGAGACAGGGCAATTGATTGCAGACTTCAAATGTCGAAGATAATCACACATGGTTTGATTGGGTTTCTTGATGGCATTTTGAAAATCGTTTTATTCCAATTTTCTTGGCCACGTAATGATCAGTAGTCCTTGAGCAAATCAAATCTCCCAAGATGTCTGAAGGTTGTGAATTTCATGGAAAATCTTGACTGTGAAGGTCAAATTGATCGAACTATGAATGCATTGATTAGTCTTGACTAAGGTAGAATATGAGGTATTGACCGCGATGGTGCCATTTAGATCAATGATAAGCTTAGGCGGACAATGAAAAGACTCATCCATATAGCTTAGCACAACGTTGCATTTTAGAATATGTCTAAATTAAGATTTTCACATAAGATAAGTGTCTGCATCAAGCTTGATGGAGGTGAGACTTGTGATGTTGGGAAGAACAAGAGACAAGAGATTGACCGCATAGCCATAATTTGAGCAGCAGTAGAAATTCAAGCAACAGAGAAGAGGGAAAAAGAGGTAAAAGTGAACGCAATGTTGTTGAGAGGTGATGGGAAATTGGGATTATTGGAAAGAGAAGATGATGAGTCAAGAGATGGTAGAAAAGAAAAAAAAAAGTGAAGATGTATCGGATATTATTGAGATAGCAATTGGAGCAAAGGAAGTGTTGAGTTTGGGCGGAGATGTTGAAGAATTTGATGCATTTTCCTACTATAATAACAAGTTCAACATATTGATGTTTAGAGTTAAATAGAAAATAACAATAAAACGTTTACGGTGGCTCAACCCAATTAAGGTTGTATGATATGTATTCATAAGAGTAAATTAATCACTAGAAGTGTAAATATAGAAACATAATAACATAAAGACCCCACAATACGTATAAATTACTCGTTAATACAATTATCGACCCGGTACCGAGTTACGAAATGCGAGTGAATGGCGGGGTGTCCAAGGCAAGCAGACACGGTCATTCACAGCAACCCAACTCCCAGACGTCCTTAGTGTCCTTTCTCCTGGTTCCCGTGTGTGTAGGCTCCATGTTGATTCCTCTATACTCATTACAGATACCAAAAGAGAAGGAAACATCGGCTGTCATTTTCTGTAATCACTTAACGCTTGCTCACCCTCATGTCTCGTTCCCAATCCGCGGCCACTTGAACCCAAATCAATGCATCTCATCTAAATCACAACACGGACGAAGAAGGGCAAGAAAGACGACGAAAGAGCAGTTTGAGACGATTAAGTGACAGGGGCCCCCACGCAGAGTTTCCTTAATCGGGTTGCACTTTCAAGTGCGGTGGTGACCGCGGCCCCCACCGGCGGGTCTGCGCCGGGCCCCACCGGGCCCCCGGTTCCTCAACCACGTGACCCGGCACGACCCGAAACTTCGTCTCCAATCTAAACCCGTGGGAACGCGACCTCCTTTTCCTTCTCTCCTTTTGCTCTTTTGGCGCCTTCGAGAGCCATTGAACTTTCCTGGCATCACCTTAACTTGTTCCTAGCGATTGCACGGAGTCTTCTGATTTGGTTTTTGTATTAGTGTGAAGGAAAAGATTAAGTTAATTAGCGGGACGCATAATAATGATGATGCATGCTAATGGATGTCCATGTCAACAAACCTTGCATCATGCCATTTCATAGAGGGTCCCTTTCAAATGAGCCTGGCAAATGCGTGGATAGCTCAAATGTCAAATCGGCCTTATCCAATCCCCAAACAATTATTATAATTGTTCCATATATATCTTATGGAGAGAAGGATTAATGTGAATTTTTGGTCTAGTGGATAGCAATCACCTTGTTAGTAAGGGCGACGGTACCATACTTTTTTCTCGATTGAGATCTTCAGAATAAATGGGAAAAAAGTTTACTTTCTTAAGGCATGATTCCCGCCTTCTCCTTTCTAAGTGAAAAGGTTGGCCACTAGAGCAATTCCCTAATTGAGGGTGGAGATGTTTAGTTTTAGATATGAGGTTCGACTTTCACACTCTGCAAAGAGAGAATAAAAGAGCAAAAGTTTGAGAGTGAAATGAAAGTTAGAGTCGGGAAAAAAAAAAAAAGGCATGATCTCACTTTTTTTTTGGTATTTGGATATTATATATCATTATCTTTCAAGGGTAAATTGAGTCGGTGTATCTTTTGACATAAAAGCCCTCTTTTTTTGTCCTGTCTTGAGCTTTTGCTCTCCATGAAGATTATATCTTCATTTGCAAGAAGGGTTCTCTATGGTATGTATATACGGTGTGGTTTCTCTTTTCATATTGGGCATTTACACCATGCTCTTCAATCTGGAGTACCGTGAAAAAAAAAGGGCAGATAAACCCTTTTTTTTTATTTTAATTTTGCTCTTTTATTCTTTTAAGTGAGACAAATGTCCAATAGTTCTCATAAGAATTGCCTTTTGTCATCTTGTCTCGAAATTCAAGATTCAAACTCTTGATTTTTTATTCTCTCTCGCAAACGATGTAGATATTGATGCTCAATCTAGTCTGACGGAGTCAGTCGGGTCTACAATCAAGGAGCCAACCTGCACCCCCAAATAACCAATTAAGGCGTTCGGTTTTATGACCTCGAATTGGCCCCGACGATGCTTAAGTCGATCAAGAGAAAATAAAAGTGAATAAGGAGACTTAGTACATTAAGGATATGAGATGGCTTCGTACCTGGGCACGGAGTACATGCACTTACAGGTGGGCTTTCCTGTCAAGTTAGGTTATTTCCTATTGGTTGGATAACAACGGCTACAGCCTGATCAAGTAGGTTATCTGCAGGTTGGGCAACAGTTATGCCACCATGAGGAGCTGATGTAGTGGACATTGTTTTTAGAAATTTATTTTATGATATTTATAATGTTCAAAATGAGATCCGTAAAGCGGATTCTATACCAAATGGGAATTTAAATGATTGTTCTCGATTGAATATGATCTAGAGAAAACTTAACAAATTAAGTCCCACGAATGTCTTGGTCCAATATAATCAGTACATTGAGTCACCAGAGATGATTTCTTTACCCAAATGGTTACATCAGATCCAATTAAAAACACACACATGAGATTCTGCAACACGAAGATCTATCTCATCGGAGCAGAGAATCCAAGCTTTGGATCCAGCTGGAGAGACAAGCAATCAAAATCTAGTGAAAGGTCAACGGGTGAAGAATCCAACGTTATGGATTGCGGGCCACAATTTTTTCTGTCACTGTCTCCTCTCAACGCTGCCGACTTACAGCCGCCAAGTAGTTTCAGAAAATCATGATGGGTTGCACTCCTATTCTCTGGGACCGTATACTTTTATTTGAAAATCAAAATCGTTAATTTGTGCTCTTTTATTCAAAAATGTTACATGTGCTATGTTACAATTTGCTCGAAATTATTATATGGCCCCGAATAAACGCCGCATTAGGCAACATAGAAAAGAAGAAAAAACGAGAGGGAAAGAAAGAGAGAGGAGATCCCATCCGCCATGGTTGCAAGCTCAAGTTCTGAGCTCGCGATGCCCATGGCCTTTCGAGCTTAAGCTTGTAGGCGCCATGTCCGCTTGACTAGAGCTCCGGGAGGCTATGGTTGCTCAATAGGTGGTTTGAGTGGGTGCGAATTATAATTTTTGAATTGTTGTGGATGTTAGATTTTGGGAGCTTTTGATTTGGAAGGGTTTGAAGAAGAAGATATTTAATGGCGGTGTTATCAAATTTTGTCGTCGGATAAACATTAGGAAAATCGACGGTACTTTTTGAAAAGTAGAGGGGTACATTTGAAAATGATAATATATAGAGAGAGGATTTTGATTTTCGAAGAAAAGTATGGAATCACTAATGACGTTAACATCTATTTTTTAAGGGTTAACACAAGAAAAACCCAAAACTTATACATTTGTGACAAATTTACCAAAAATTAATTTTTTTATCACCAAAAATTTCAAATTGGTACATTTGTTACAAATTTACCTACCATTAGTTTCCATTATATTGGATTAATACCACAAAAAATCACAAATCGATATATATATGTGACAAACGGAGATAAAATACCAAACTAGTACACCTGTCAATTGTCATGTGTCATCCAACTTAGCAATTTGATGGTAAATTTAATGAAAGCTTACGAATGGTAAATTTGTCACAGGTGTACCAGTTTGGGATTTTTCGTGGTATTAACTCTTTTTTAAAAATCCCCCCACTCAATTTAAGGAATTTACAAATTAAGAAAAGGATTTATTTGATTACCAATTTCAACAACAAATTCCTTCGGTTTGATTTCGAGAATAAATTTAGCAAATACTAGAAAAAGAGAACACGAATTGCATGTGAACAGAATTAGTGCAAAAATAAAATTTAGTAAAGAATAAAATGATATGTAGAGAGTATGATCTATCTTTAAATATGATTTAAACTATCATTAAAAAAATAATACGAGTGATTTCTAGAATAGTTTAAGTTTCAACAGTTATTTTGAATTCAAATTTTTTGTGCAAAGTTTTAAATTTAAATTTGGAAGATAAGAGATTCATTGATTAACTTGCCAATTAACTTAATCATTGTAAAACATAATTTTGTCCATCTATAGTCATGTGTGGTCATAGTACATTTTAAATGTATGCGTGAGGTTATCACGGGACTTTTATTCTTTTGTCAAAGTTTGGATTGAAGTCGCAATCAAATTTGCTTAACTAAAAGTATAAAGAAATGATGGGTTTGGTAAGAAGAAGTTGGATTTCGTATCATAGGAAAATTTTAACGTGTTAAAAATTATAGGTTAATATCATAAAAAATCCCAAATTAGTACGTATGTGACAAATATACCCCAAGCTAATTTTTTTGACCACGAAAAATCCTAAATTGATACACTGATGATGAATTTATCCCAAACTAAGTTTTTAACTACAAAAAATTTCAAATCGGTACACTTGTAACAAATTTACCTCAAATTAATTTTTTGACCACAAAAAACCCAAAACTGGTACACTTGTGACAAATTATCTCAAACTAATTTTTTAATCATAAAAAACCCAAACTGGTAATCCTGTGACAAATTTACATTCCGTTAGTGAACTCGTTTGGGATTTTTCGTGGTATTTACCCTATAGATTTCCACATGGACTTGCCATGTCACCATACCGCATCATAATGTGTCATCCTTTCGGCAAATTTAACGGTAAAGTTTGACAAAAGCTAACAGAGGATAAATTTATCATAGGTGTACTGGTTTGTGATTTTTTGTGCTTACTAATTACCCTATAGATTTCCACGTGGACTTGCCACGTCACCATACCGCATCATAATGTGTCATCCACGTCGGCAAATTTAACGGTAAAATTTGAAAAAAGCTAACAGAGGGTAAATTTATCATAGATATACCAGCTTAGAGTTTTTTGTGCTTAATAATTAATTTTCGGTAAATTTGTTATGAGTTTACCGGTTTGGAGTTTTTCATGATAAAAAAATTAGTTCAAGATAAATTTGTCATAAATATATCAATTTGCGGTTTTTCGTGATATCAATCTAAAATCATAACATTTGTGTTCAAAAGATATTCCATAGCCAAAATCTTAATTCGATCCAGACAAATTCACTTGCCGCGGTCGATACATCTCATTTCTTTGAATGTCCATTCTTAGTTTGAAACCTTATTCGATATATCAATTTGTAAATCCAATTGGAGTACGGACAACGTCACTGGAAAGAACTCTTCTCTTGGGGTCTGAAATTTAATATGTGAATTTGCCGCAAGTTGGCCACGAACGAACATTCCTCCGCGTCAGGATCGTGTCGGACATGGACTGCACCGCACGTTACTTCCTGCCCGATTAAAAGAACGTCAATTTGATTTGAGAGAGAAACGGAGAGAGAGAGAGAGATGGGTCCCACGCTACCAAGTTGTCCGCCCGTCATGATGGCCGAGCACGGGTCGCGGACTAATTGATTCGGCAGGTGACTTGATACACATTTTTTAGTGGATTTCGACTTCCATGACCACAGTCTCGCTGTCTTAATCGACCAACATCCTTTGTGGGTTCTAAGTTAGCGTGCAATTGAGCATCATAACTTGACTTTCGGCTCATCCCGTATCGCTGGTTCTGCTTACCAAGATTGGCTCACTTGGTGCTCTCGATGATCTTCCTCACAAGGTCGTAGCTTTGCCAAGTGTGGAGGCCCTACATTCGAACCCGTCCATCGCTCCTCGACATTGGGAAATCTCGACTCATCTGCAGTATCAATTCGAGTTCGATGGTGCCGTGGTATACGATAACTCACCCTTGTTCCCATTAACATCGTGGTAGGGGTTCGCTTAAATGAACGGGTTCCCCATAGTAAATAATCTTAATTAATTTTACCCTTTGTAGTGATTTATTTCATTAATTCATTTTCGTATCGACGGCATATTATTACCCACCGTAATAATATCCATGAAGGCGATAATTCATTCGTCTTTTCACAGCAATATACCTATTGTAATAATCTCTCCTCTTTTTTACCATTTTTCGTATCTCGATTTATCTTCTTCTTTTTTTATTATTTCTTCTTCATCTAACACTAGTCTTCTACTCGTTTTTCCCTATTTTTGTCAATGAAAGAGATAGAGAAAGTCGTGAGAATCGGAGCAAGTATGAACATCCTGACGTGCATAATACAGCCATCCACCTGTTCTTACAGACTTTTTTCTTCTTCTTTTTTCATTTGGGCTGAAAATTTTCTCTTTTATAATTCATGATTTTGATTGAGAAAGGTGATATATGTTACATATATTCTCCTCTTGATATGAGGTGATACTACTATGTTGAAGATTCAAGAGAGATTTGGAGCAAATTTACTTTTGTAAGTAGAAAAATATGAATCTCTCTCTCTCTCTCTCTCTCTCTCTCTCTCTACACTTATTTATTTATTTTGTGAGTTTATGAAGTTTCTACTCATAATCTTACTTTACTGTATTATTCTGAAAATTTCATTAACCAGTGAAAAACGTTTTCATTATCGATAATTATTTTCATATGGACGATGAAACTATTTTTCATTCAAATTTTTAGTAAGCGATACAAGCGATCATTTTTTAGGAAAGCGTTGTCCAAATTGTTCATTTTACCCAATTTTTAACGGGCGCCAAAAGTGTATGGTGCATGCCCTTGTTAATTAGTCCACCCTTTTATATAATATAAGCAGTATATAATGTATATACTAATATGGAAATTCAGATAAATTATGGGGTAAGTCAGTGTTTTTTTTTTAATTTTCTGTTCAGTTAATTAATACGGGAAAAGACAGAAGAGAGGGAACCAAGGAGAAGGAGGAGGAGGAGGAGGAGGAGGAGGAGAATAGGAAGGAGAAGACGGCGACAAGAGAGGGTGTTTCGGTTGGCTTTGCGGTTTCTTCGTTTCTTCGCTCCCCTTCCTTGTCCATGTCCTTTCGCTTCCACAGCTTTTCTCGTTCGTGCGTGTGCTTCTTTTCCCACGTAACATGCCAATTTCTCAGACATTCCCTTCTCCCCTCCCAGCCGTCCATCTTCTTCACCCCCACATACCATAACCACCATCAATGAAAAAGCAACATCTCTCTCTCTCTCTCTCTCTCTCTCTCTCCTTACGCCATCTATGATCGCTTAACGTTCTACTACTGTTGTCTCTCTGCTTTCAGTATCATTGCTTCACAACGCTCCTTTTGTCTTTCGCTCTTCCTCTTTCTTCTGTTCTGATCGTTGCCTTCTCTTTTCAGGACATAAATCTTTCTCTACCGTGCGATACGTGCCTCGTTGCTTCTTGATCCCTTCTGTTTCGCCCTTTATCGGCATACCCTTTTGTCCATTCCTCCAAAATCACTCTGTTTTTCTCAGTGTATGACCATAATATTGCGCAATCTGCATTCTCTTGGCCATATCAGCACCTAATTTTGTCGAAGTTTTCATCTTTCTTGTTGTGTCTTTGCTGGGCGGTTGTTGGTTTTTCTTTTTTTCTTTTTTTCTTTTTGAAATTCATGGATTATCACCAGAGTTCGGGTTCTGGATTTCAATTCGCGAATCCTGCTTTTGGAGACACCACGTACACCAAGGTTTTTGTTGGGGGTTTGGCTTGGGAGACGCAGAGCGAGACACTGAGGCAACACTTTGAGCAGTTTGGTCCGATTCTCGAGGCGGTCGTGATCGCTGATAAGACCACAGGACGATCAAAAGGATACGGTTTTGTGAGTACTCGTTGTTCACTCATTTGATCCTCTTCCTTTTATGTTGGCAGAGGATGATTTAATTCTTATGCATTGATATCCAAGATACTTTATCAGACTTGGTCTCTTCTGCAATTATCTCTTTTGACAGTTTCCGAATTTGACTAGGAAAAAGATTGTTGCTGTAATATAACCAGGGAATCTAGTATATTCGAATAGGATTTGTTACATCTTTTGGTGGAATAAGCGGTTAATCCAAAAGTTGAGTGATGACGATAATCGTACGTTTCTCTGACTAGTTAGCTTTTCAGAAGTCTGGGCTACTCCCCGTGAGCAATGAGTTTTGTTGCACTAGGTTGCTGTCTAGTGATCTTGTCTTTGTGCTTACTTCTTCTTCTTCTTTGCTGGAAAGTTTATGTGCACATCTGCATGTGGAGAGTGTAGGTAACTTTCCAGGAGGCTGAGGCTGCTAGGAGAGCCTGTGCAGATTCCACTCCGGTAATTGATGGCAGGCGCGCAAATTGCAATTTGGCTTCACTTGGACGAGCCCGCCCGCCTCCTTCTTTTGGTAATTTGTCTCCCTAGGCTTCTTGGTCCGCAATATTGCTCTATGTATTGGTCTGATGTATGATTATTTTCATTGGTTTTCTTTTGGCAAGTCTCTTTCCGATACAATGATGGAATGGAAATCTGAAAGTATAATAAGTAGCGAGGTTTTATCTTAAGCTAGAAGTATTAGGAATTTTTTTCTTCCTCAAATGACTTCAGTGCTTGATTTGTATGAATTCGGTTTTTGTTTGTTTAAAACTTTGTACCTTGTCCGCTGTCCTTGAGATGCTTTGAAATACGTTAACAGACATCTGTCACTACTTTATCAGAAAAAGCGGAGTCACTAATTATGTAGTTTAAGTTTGACTGAGATTCTAGATTCCATATTTATGTGAAAACATTTTAAAAATACCGTTTGTCGCATTGTTATAGGCACAGCTGCGCTATTTCCTTTTCTTGACTTCCTGTAGAATGTATTGTAATTTTAATACAACCTCTATGTTATTCCATCAATGTATCAATTGTATGAAGTGCTATTTGTTTCTGTTTCTTGTAGGAAACCAGAGATCAGCAGCACCGTATGCAGGAGGTGTGCAACCCTACCAGGGAACTTATTCAGGGAATTTCGGCTACCAGCAACCCGTTTACTACAGCTACCAGCATGGATATACTTATCCTGCTTATAGGTATATTATTATCACAGATTATTCACGTGTTAGAACTTTAAATTTCACCCGGGTTCCATCTGAGTCCTGCGCTTGAACTGACATGGTCCTTTTTTTTTTTTTTTGGTGGGGACTGACATGGGTCCTTAGAAGGTCAAAATAGGCATCAATAGCGTTCTGTGTCTTTCCTGTGTTATTGTGAAGGCCGAACAATCGTATTGACCGGAGGTGTTACTTTGCCTTTTTTCTCTATAATCCCCTCTTTCTTCCACAAGAATGTCTATCTTCAGGTCATGCCTGTTTTCATATAGTTTGTGTGTGATTGAAAGTTGAGTTGGTTTTGTTTGATAAACATGGAATATTTTAGTATACTTGATAAAAGAACAAAAATCTGATCTCTCACTTTATTTGGGTATACGCACTTACTTTCTAATACCCTTTTCTCTCGTCTGCTCTGTCACTTCTTGCATTTTTCTGCCACTTAAGAGTATGTGGGTGCAGCTCTTTCTTTTGGAAAGCACATGCATTGATTTTTAGGATCTTTTAGTTTCATCTGGAATGATTTTTTAATTCCGTAGAACAAGCACCGGTTGTCACGGCCGTGTTATGGTATGAAGTGTAATGCTGATGATGTTTGCTCCTATCAGTGTTTTGCAAGATGGATATTTTTATTCTAGACTTCAGTCTCCTTGGCTCTTAACCTAAACAGAATAGGCTCTCTGCATTAGTAGTCCACAAGAATAATTATTTATGAGTACACATGCAACGTATGATTGTCTTGGCAATTGTATGCTGAAACCTTTCAAACTGCAGCGACGTGACATCCTTTTAGGTTGGACTGTAGTAAACAGGCCTAGGGTACTTCCCTTGATGAGTAATATTCTTTCCCAAAATCCACAATGATGTTGAACTTTTGTTTTTCTCACTAGAACTCTCTCGCTCCAAGATTTTTCGAGTTTTAACATATTTGGCCTTTTGTTTTACCGTGCAGATATTCAGCTCATGGCCCTGAGTATGTCTACTCGCAGGTACCACACTCAAAACCGTTCTTTACAAATAACAGTTTTACTTTGATTAGGTTTGACATAGGGAGAGGGCGCTCTTCGTTTATTGTTTCACTGACCCTATGTTATCCACGTGCATAATTCATTCTAGTAGGGCGTCTATAGTCCATACATGGGTCAGCAATACCTCCAGATGTATGGAGTTCAAGCAGCTATTTATCCCTACAGCCAGATGGCTCAGAGCATTTCCAGCAGTCGTGGGTTCATTACCATCCCACAGTACTCAACACCAAGCCATCAGATCTTGCAGCTTGGTGGCCCCAGTGCTGATGCCATGACAACTTCACAAATACCCACAATACAATTGTATCATACCGGTAAAGCCTTGTAATTTGAATTTTAGGAACCATATGTGCATGAAGTTTTGTTGTATGTACAGGCCTTGTGAAATGCAGAATAAGTCAGTAGTGTAAAGTAATATCCTGCACAGTTTGTTTTGTTTCCGTCAGATCTTATTATTGTGTGGACTCCTAGAACCCCACCTGAACAATTGATTGATTGAAAGTTTTCTTCAAACAAATTGGAAGAGAATAGAATTTTTGCCTGCACATCATTTGCTTGCTTTCGTTGACAGGCGTAGCTACAGCTCTTGCAGCACGACCACAAATAATCATTCCTAGCACACCTCCTAAGTTTATGCAGAGTGGCAGTTCTGACGGTACATCTGGGTGAGGGAGAAAAGATTGGGGTGCGCTTTTCCTTTCCCTGAATTAAGGCTTCATAGGACGTTATTCATAAGCCTATAATCCGATGTCTATCTAATGCTTGGTTGCTGTTAATTTCACAGGTTTTCTTCATCATGCGGAGACTAAGAGTAGTCAAGCTGCTACATCAGTGGCAGGCTTCTGCCTTTTGCCTTCCAAAGTCTATAATTTCGTGTTCTTTAGGTACGATCAGATTCTGTCTCTCGTGTTGCTGTTTGTCAACAAAAGCATCGCATTTGCCAATAAGGCTACGGTAAGCTGGAGTTCCAACTAGGAGTGTAATCACTCAGACCATTGGTGATTCTCTGTGGCCACCTCTTAGATCTTCTGTGATTTGGTGCTAAGTGGTCGATTGCGTCTGGGGGGAAACCTTATTGACATCTATCTGTCCGAAAAGCAAACCCATTTTTGTTCATGCTGCTCTGCTTTGCATTGATTCTTCCTCCCATTTTTCACAACCTGCAGGTGGTCATACATAGTTCTTATCAGCGAGTCAATGTCTGAACTGCTCCTGATTTCGGAGCGGCATGGGAGACTGTAGTGTCTCTTCCTCGTTTTTTGCCGACCCCAAACTCTTTGCTCGCGCTGGGTATGTGTCGCGAGCATTCATATTCATTTTGGTGGGTGGTCCGTGGTCGCTGGAAGTGGTTTTCTGGTGGTAGCCATGGAATCTACATGTTGGAATCAAGATATGGTTCTTTTTCCTTAGGACAGTCGCAGCATTTGGTGTGTACATGGTACATTGTATATACATGTTTTCTGAGAAGCGTGCATATTTAGAACCAGGAGTTCCAATTGGAGATATGAACTTTGTAATCAGATGAACCCGAGAAACATAAGATGCACAATTGTCCTCCTTTTTTATAGGAATAATAACACCGCAAGTATCTGAATTTTTGTCTAGTACTTCAATTATTAATTTGGCTCAATGTAAAGCTCCTATTTAATAAATTGCCATGTCACGTGATTTTGCTGACGTGGCTGGCTTAGCAAAAGTTAAGCCCATTTGATGACATGGCTCGCTTGCTAAGCCCAAATTGGCCCGATATTGTTTTGAACAAATAAAATATAATATCTAAAATAAGAGAAGTATATAAGACTGAAAATTAAAGGTAAGTCGTTCACTGTTTATAAATTTTGGTAAAATCATAATGTTATGATTAATCATCAAACTTCAAATGGACTATTAAAAGTTATGCCATTTTTTGAGATGTGCGAATTTCATTTCTTTCGATGAAATTTATTAATTGGGAGTAAAGTCCTGTTAGTTATTTGATAATTGTGTGTTAAATTTTTAAAATTTTATAATGTAAATGATAAAATAATTCGAGCTAAAGCAAGAATCGGCCTAAACCAAACCAATTAATTTGGCAGATGCTTTTTATCTTTTATTTGGGCCTGCGCTACATACCGTGCCCATAAAGGTAAGTTTGTTCTGTTCAAGCTGGGCCTAAACATCCTTCAAGGCTCGGGCGGCTCGGCTCTTTTGCACCCATTATAAGTGCCATTATATATATTGTTGTAAAATATTGCGTTGCAAGTATATAATAGAGAGAATAGAGATTAAGTATAGAATGCAAATAAACACCAAAGATATATATGTTTTCCCTTTTCATTATTATGTTCTCTTTTCTTACACAATGATCAAAACTAAACTCTTATTTATAAGAAAACAAGAATGCACATATCATTAATGTCAATGTATTGAATACATACATTGAATAGGGAGATGAACATTCATTGGAGATTGTACGTAGAATGTAGGTTATAAGTGTACCATAATAGGTATATTGAATATACATTCATGTATGTAGGTTACAAATGTACCATAATAGGTACATTGAATATAATGAATATTCATTCATGTATTTCATAACACTCCCCCTTGAATATTCATTGTATTCATTATATTATGAATGTGCATTGAATAATACTGCCTCATTAAAAACCTTAAGCCGGAAAAATCCAGTGGGACAAAAATCGGACAAAAGGGAAAAAGAGTACACAGCACAAATTTTAAGATCTCCCCCTTTTGTAGATGCGTTAATTGCCTCGTTAAAACTTTAAGCCGGAAAAACCTTGTGGGAAAAAACCGAACAGAAAGAAAAAGAGTGCAATGCATAGTTCATAACATCTCCCCCTCAATTTGAGCTATTTAGCCACTACTGGGGCTAGTCAATCTCGCATCTTATGAACTCGCCGCATACCAATGCCATATACTAATTTCTCAAAAGTTGACGTTGGCAATGATTTGGTAAAAAGATCTGCAAGATTATTTATGGATTGAATCTGCTTAACATCAATTCATCGACTTTCTTGGAGTTCATGAGTATAGAAAAATTTCGGCGAGATATGCTTGATCCTATCACCTTTGATATATCCTCCCCTAACTTATGCAACACAAGCAGCATTATCTTAATAAATTATAGTGGGAGAATTTGTAACCGGTGTTAAACAACAAGAATTGTGAATATGTGTTATAATGTATCTTAACCAAACACACTCTCTTCCAGCTTCATATAAAGCAATAATCTCAGAGTGGTTGGAAGATGTAGCTACTAGCGATTACTTCGTAGAACGCCAAGAAATGGCGGTGCCGTTATAACAAAATAAATAACCGGTTTGAGAGCAAGCTTTATGTGGATCAGATCTATATCCAGCATCAGTATATCCAACTAAACCGGAGGTAGTGGAATCCTTGGAATAATATAATCCCAAATCTATGGTTCCTCGGAGATAACGAAAAATATGTTTTACTCCATTCCAGTGTCTCTGAGTTGGCTCGGAACTAAAACGTGCCAATAAATTTACCGCAAAAGCGATATTTGGTCTCGTACATTGTGCCAAGTACATCAAAGCCCCAATTGCATTGAGATATGGTACTTCAGGACCAAGTATCTCTTCACCAGATTCTCTAGGACGAAACGGATCCTTTTGGGGATCTAGAGACCTTACAACCATAGGAGTGTTCAATGGGTGAGCCTTGTCCATGTTGAAGCGTTTAAGTAATCTTTCAATGTATGCTGATTGATGGACGATTATTCCATTTGCTTTATGCTCAAGCTCTAGACCAAGACAAAGTTTGGTTTTACCCAAATCTTTAACTTCAAATTCCCTTTTTCAAATACTCAGCAGTTTTAGCTAACTCTTCTGGAGTTTCAATTAAATTTATGTCGTCGACAAAAACTGCTACAATAGCAAATCCGGTTTCTGATTTCTTGATAAACACGTATGGGCAGATAGGATCATTCTTGTACTTTTCCTTAATTAGGTACTCACTTAGGCGTTGATACCACATGCGACCGGATTGCTTTAACCCGTACAAAGATCTTTGCAATTTTATTGAGAATAAGTTGCGGGGAGTGCATGCATCAGGCATTTTGAATCCCTCGGGAATTTTCATATAAATATTCGAGTCTAATGAGCCATATAGATATGCCGTCACAACGTCCTTAAGACGCATTTCCAATCTTTCAGATAGTACCAGGCTAATGAGAAAACGAAATGTAATCATATCCATCACAGGTGAATATGTCTCATCATAATCAATCCCGGGTCTCTGGGAGAATCCTTGGGCAACGAGTCTGGCTTTATACCTGACAACCTTGTTTTTCTCATTTCGTTTCCGAACAAATACCCATTTATATCCAACGGGCTTTACATAATCGGGGATGCGAGTTGTGGGTCCAAAAACCTCTCGTTTGGCTAGGGAAGCTAATTCAGCCTTAATTGCTTCCTCCCATTTAGACCAATCTTGCCTTTGACGGCATTCAATAATAGATTTCGGCTCACAATCATCATCCATAATTTTATGAGCAACTGAGAATGCAAAAGCATCATCAATGATGATTTCATTCTGATCCCAAATTTCATTACAATATGTAATGGGATTCTCAGTATTCCCAGGGTTGGTGGTCTTTTCATGGGTTTGTGCCTCTTCAGGGGCAATAAACTCTTTGGGAGCAAGCATAACACCAGGCTCTTCTAGAGCAGATTCCTAATTCTTTCCCCTTCATTTTCGAGGAACAGTGTCTTTTGATCCTATCGGTCTACCGCGTTTCAAGTGTGGGGGATTTTGATCCATTTTAGCTTGTCCTTCGGGAACAGCTATCCTAGCTGGAGCATTTGCAGCTAGAATATGAGACTTCGTTACCTTAGTAGCATCATTAAATGCGTCAGGAAGTCTATTGGCCATAGCCTATAAATGGATTATGCGCTGCACCTCGTTTTCACACTCAGGAGTTCTTGGGTCTAATTGAGATAAATTTTTCTCATTCCAGGAGAAAACCTTAACTGGTTTTTGCTTCGCAGCTATGTCAGTTTTAAGTGTCCCAATTGATGGAAACATAGTCTCATTGAAATGACAATCTGCGAATCTGGCAGTAAAAAGATCACCAATAGTTGATTCCAAGAACTTAATGATGGACGGTGAATTAAACCCAACATAAATGCCCAAACGGCATTGGGGACCCATTTTCGTTCTTTTTGGCAATGCTACAGGCACTTGTACTACACAACCAAAGGTGCGTAAATGTGAAATATCAGGTTTAAAACCAAGAACCATTTGAAGGGGAGATTGTAAGAGACTAGCAGTGGGGCGCAATCTTATTAGGGCTGCCGCGTGCAAAACTGCATGACCCCATGCTGTATCGTTGAGATTCGTTCTCAATAATAGAGTGCGGGCAATGATTTGGATATGTTTAATCGAGGATTCTGCCAATCCATTTTGAGTATGAACATATGCGACCGAGTGCTCAACCTCGATTCCGAGTGAAGCACAATACATATCAAAACTCTTTGATGTAAATTCACCAGCATTATCCATCCTTATGCTTTTAATTGGATAATCAGGGAATTGTGCCCAGAGCTTTATAATCTGCGCAAGTAAACGTGCAAAGGTGACATTGCGAGTAGATAATAGACAAACATGGGACCATCTACAGGATGCGTCCACTAGTACCATAAAATATCGAAATGGTCTACTTGGTGGTTGTATTGGTCCACAAATATCACCCTGAATTCTTTGTAGGAATAAAGGGGATTCAAGATTAACCTTTGTTATAGGAGGTTTGGTAATGAGTTTTCCTTGTGAACAAGCTTCACAATTATAATCTTTGGACAACAATACCTTTGTATCCTTTAAAGGGTGCCCTTTTGTATTCTGAATTATTCTACGCATCATTGAAGCACCAGGGTAACCAAGGCGATCATGCCATAATCCAAACTGATCAGGGTTTACCAATCTTCAGGATATGGTGGAGTAGGTTTCAACGGCCTTAATCATGACACAATACAAACCCATAGAAGAAGTTTCTAGCTTCTCATGGATGGTCTTCAGGCCCATCTTATAAGAGGTAATGCCAATATATTATTTATTTTGCTCATAAATAGTCTCAATATGGTACCCATTACGGCGTACATCTTTAAAGCTAAACAGATTCCTTTTTGATCTACTGCTTAGAAATGCATCCTCAATATGTAGGATGGTGCCTTTTGGCAAAACAATTGTGGCATTCCCGAAACCATCAATAATCGGAATAGGACTTGATATTGTATAAACATGTGTCTTACGCAATGTCATACTCGAGAAAAAGTGTCTACTACAAAATATGGTATGTGTTGATGCACTATCAAGCAAACAAACATTTTCCTTTTTCTCGGTGTTTTCCATTTGCATTTATGTTGACAACTTCAGGTGTCAAGTATCATAAAATTTTCATATTAGTTATAGGGTCAAATAAAATTTCAAAATAATAAATATTATATCAAGTTCATAAGCATTTCATTGCATAACCACATTAAAGAATAATAAAAGGTAATACATTTAAAGAAAAACAACTAGAAAAGAAATTATTAGAATCATAAAATTCGAAGTCTAAGTTGGCATCCACCGGTCT